TCACTGACTGTCTTAACTGTTAAATGGTGCACAACACAATGATCTTTCATTTCTGGAACCTGATACGGACTAATACGCCTCACCTTGCTGTAGGCTGAAGGAATCTTGTGTGAAATGCGTTTGAGCAGATAAATCAAGTTTCTGCAGGTGTACAGTTTAAATTTGGCACTGACCAGCATTCTTTCCGAGAGCCATGAAGACACTGGTCTAAGATGTATTTGATGGTTTTATGAGTTTGGGATCAGGTGCATTGTTCAACACAGTGAAATAAGCTTGACTATGTTATAACATAGTTATGTTAATTATTAACATACATACCTAACTGTGAGGTGCTTGTCACTGTGTGACAAAAGTATAAAGTGTTTCATTCTCCAGTTATGACATCCTTCAACTTTATGAGTGCACAAGTTCACTCCAGAAAGATCATTTCGGGAACAAAATGCAATTAGCTATTTCTTGAATATTATTTCCCACGTTGTGTTTATATTTCTGTCCTCTGGTTCATGTGCTCGTCCTGCCTTCAATCAGTCAGATAGGATGGTCTGGAGTACAGACTTCTCCATGATGCCTGGTAATGTCACTTCACAACGTCTGACGAGCTACACAGTCGGCAGAAGATTTCCCCCCACTGATTTTTCTCTTTTAGCAAGTGATCCTGATAAGAAGTAGTCAAACTCTCTCGTGGGAAGCTGTGTTCCACTGTTAAATGACACTGGGATAGGAACCTGGCTTCCCAGAGTGAAGTCTATTACTGGAGCCCTGCTATGACCAAGCCACCTCTTTGCCAAACTTTTAACAGCCTTGCTAACTGCTACTAACATTCCCAAATAGCCCTTTTAAAAGAGAAAAAAGTTTGATTATGAAATTATTGTGATGGTATCAAGCCCAATGTTTTTTAAAAAAACGGTGAGTGTGTGAAGGAGGCAGTTTTACATTTGGTAAGAGACGTTTCCTGTTAGCACACCAAATATTTTGTATGCAAAAGATGAACCCATCAAAATTCAGTCTGGCCTGAGTATTTCAATAAATGTGGATGCCAAGTTACAAGTATGGGTATTGCAGTTGTTTTAAAGGGCACTATGTTTTGATAGAATTCTTTGGTTTAGTTTGTTTGAAGTTAGAAATGAAAAGCTAAACTAAATGCTTTTCTGTTTCATTAGTTTAGCGAATAGGTTGGGAAGCTAAAATAGCATGTTTTTCTATCTTCTTCCAACAGACTGTATGCAGAGGGATATTTGGGCCATTTCTTCCAAAAGGCATGAGTGGCTGGTCTTGATTCTTCAAATCACAGCACTTTTAACATGAGGTCGGTCCTGTCTGCCTGTTCAGGTGGATCCCATCACAGTGTTCTTCAAGAGAAAGGAGTTTCCCCTGGTGTCTTGGTCAACAAACCCCAGGTAAAAAAATAATTGTTATTCGCTTTATGCTTAGTTGTGGCATATTCCCGAACATAACATGGCCACCTATAAATACAGTCACTACACTGCACAGGAAAACTCCATGTAAAGGGCTTTGAGATGTTTTGACATAAGGCACTATATCAAATGCAAGGATTACATATATCCACACCCTGAGCAGTATCAGCTTTGGCTTACAGCTAGGTCACTTCTGATGGAAAAATTGGACCAGTGGATTTGACTGGCTTTAGGCAAAGATATGGCTATCCTGAATTCAACCTTTTTGGCCAAAAAGCACTGCTGGATTGAGGTCCTAAGTGCTCCTCTTGCTTTAACAACAGCAATTCAACATCTGAATGAATTGTAATTGTAATGAATTGTAAAGCATTGGCTCACATTGAGGCACATTTGACCCAATAGGTCTTGCTTACATTCACAAACTGGAGGCTATTTTGTTTTGAAGTTTGACAATACTCTGTCAGGAAGCAAACTGTAGGGAGAAAGGAAAATCCTGCACAAATGGGAAGCAAAAGGATTTTTGACCAAAGAATCTGGCCTAACCTTAAACAGTTGAGAAAACTGGGGGTGCAAACATGAGGAATCTTGTGTTTAGAACTGTAAAGATGGACTCTGACCTTAGACTGAGAGCACAAGTTAGTGTTCTTAGATTCAGGAATCTTTCCAAAGAGAAGAAACCAGCCCTTGAACAACAAGCAGAAACCAATCCTTGAACACCAAGATGAAAGCGGATCTTAAACAGCAAACTCATACACAGGCGTGCGTGAAATTCGACTCCAACATAAGTCTTTTTCTGCTTTGGCTGGAGATTAGACCTCTTGATGAGAAATCCAATCCTAAGTTCCTGGAACATGTTAAGGACCTGCTGTATAGCCGCCTGAGTGGCGTCTCAGCACAATCTCTGATGAGCCAGTTGTCTAAGTATTAATGCAGCTGGCACATCTGCATCAATTGAGTTGCCATGGCAGACAGGCATTTCACAGATGCCTGAAGGCATCCAAAAAACTGAAGGGGAGCCCGCTATTCTGGCACTTTGAAATGGAAATGGATCTCTTCATTTATAATGAAAATTTAAGATGGCAGTACTCTGAACCCATCCACAATTATAAAATGCCAGAGGGCAGTTCATACACTATTTACTCATGATGTCTGGGATGTTTTGTTGGTAATATTTGGAAACAAACTAAGATATTGTTTATACAGCTTGTCTCTCACCTGGTGAAGAAATGAAAACATAAACATCTTAAAAGTTTCAAAAATGCAACTGCAGCCTTTCCACCAGTATATTTGGAGGATACCTATTCTGCTGAAAGGGCATGTTTATTAACCTCTAATACTGTGTCTGTAAACTATTCTTATATAATTTCACAAGCATAGTGCAATTTCTGTTACAAATTCCAACAGTTTAATTTGCACCACATGTCAATAGGATTCCACAATGTTGGCAAATCTGCCGGTGAAGCAATTTAATTATTTACATAAATTATTTCATGCTGGTCCGTTACATTTGTCGTTGTAGATTCAAAATATTTTGGAGGTTCACAATTTATTTATTAAAAAAAAAGCTTTTTGCTCAAGCAGATTTCTTATCATAATCCAAAATGTTGTTGAAATGTTGACTGTAAATATATTAACATGAAAACTAATTTAAAGTTTGGGATTAGAAAGCACTATACGAGTTCCTATAAGTACACGCTGTTGAACACTGAACTAATGAATAAGACTCATCTTTTAGAGGATGTTTCAATTGATAATGTGGATCCTCTAATGGGATAAGTTATATGTTATATGACAAGCAGTATAAGATGAAGAGCATTCATCTTACATTATTCCATCCTTTAACCCTTGGGCTGTCAGCAGATCCGTAGAAACTTCTTCTCTGGGTTGGATCGGTTATTAGGTTTGCAGCTTATGCACTGAATATTTATAATCAATATTATAAAGGTAGATCCTAGAGATAGAACTAATACTAGAGATAGGACCTCAATAAGTCTAGCTACTAGAACAAATCTGAAATTTAAAATACACTTTTAAAAATGTTTTCTTTTGTGTTATTTCCTTTTCCTTTCCCTTCTCTTCCTTAGTCTCTACTTTTTTATTTTTTCATAGAATTCATAGAATGTTACGGCACAAAAGGAGGCCATTCGGCCCATCGAGTCTGTGCCGGCTCTTTGGCAGAGCAAGTCACTGTTATTGTAAAATTATTTTGTACACTTTTCTACTTCTATTCCTTAATTAAAATTTTTGTTCCTTATCTTTCTCTTGTAGCTTTACCCATCCATTTTGGAAGATTGCAGTAACTTTTTTTAAAAATATCCTTCAGTTGTGTTGAAAAGAAGCTTTAAAGCCTGCTTTTATTGTCAATCCTTAGTATTCTCCGCAAGCTGGAAGGAATGCTTTTGTACCAAGAACATAAAGTACAAATGAATCATGCCATGTGTTAGCAAAATATTGGAGAAACCAATAGGATCAGGTTACTTAAAAGATAATTTTTGAAACTATGGACTTATAATGCCAGGAAGAATGCCCCCCACCCCAGGGGGGGTTCCCAGATTCTCATACTGTACAGAAGGCAGGACTTGTTTGTTAGTGTTTATCATTAGTAAAAACTTAAGTAGAGGTCCAGCTTGTTCTATGCATTAACATCTGAAGTACTCCGGGAATCTATCCCGCATTAAAGGTGCTATATAAATGCAAGTTGCTTTGTTGTAAACACAAGGATCTCATAGATGACGGTAAGGGAGCTCTTTGCTGAGACAATTCCGATGACCTTTACACAGTAAGTTTGCTTTCATTCATTCTTGACGTTCTCTTGAGGCCACGTCTTTGTCATCCACAGTAATGACAACACAGGATTATTTCACAATGTTTGACGAATGGACGTACTTTAAAAACAAAATAATGGAGTGGTCTATGTGAGTCATACATGACAGTCCTGAGTTATTTTTCTTCCATCAGCAGACTTGTCACCGATTGATTCTTCTTTGTTGTGGATTGAACAATCTTGCTCAAATTTTAAATTCCAAGGTTGTATTGCGTTTTGACTATAGATTTCCAAATGTATATTATTTAAGCTTTATACGTAGACAAGAATGCTGCTCTACCATTTTTTCCAAGATAGACAATGGAAACAAACTAGACAGAATGTGGTCACCAAACTGACAGTATTAATTAACATCGTCCTTGGTTGACAGTGTCTGGAAATCTTAAAAATGAGACATGCACCTATTATTTGTGTTGCAAGAGAAATTCCAAGTTCATAATGTGTTTAGAAGCCCTCCATTTCCTCCCATCCCATTTTTGGGGTTATCCGGGCATCTGACACATGTTGAAAAAGCCCTCACCATGTACAGTCACTGTGTGTTTCGCCAATTATACTGTTTATTGGGCAGTGTATGTGGCGAAGTGCTTTGGGATATTTTTCCTACATGAAAGGCACTATACCAAAGCTAAGGATTGTTATCATCATCCTCTTTTTATAATCTCAACTAGATTCCCAAGCACCCTAAGATTTTTGACTCAGGCCAAGCACAGAGAGAATTTAAGAAACCTTTAGTGGACGTGCAATAGAAGCAACACTCACAGTACATTTCTGATAGTCATTGTATTACAAGTTACATTAATATAAATGGGTCACAAAAACTCAATGATTACATAAAACAATTTACATAAAAGATTGTAAAATTAGTATTGAAGCATTTAATTCAACAAAGAACTGCACAATATTGTATCAGTATTTTACAAAGCAAATTTACTGTATATACAAACACTTTCCACAAAATTAAAGATTATGTGCAATTTGAGGCTATTGATTGACAGACGTTAGCAAAGTCAATAGTGTGGGAATTGTCTTTTGTTTCTTCATGACGATATGAATGTGTGGAAAATTTTAGATTCGTGCCTCCCAAGGAAATGCACACTTTAGCTGTGCATGATATTTCATTTGGTCCCAAATGGTTATGAATTACTAAATGACCTATAAATTGCTAGTGCACCTTGGTTTGTTAAAAATTAGGTTCATTTTATATCCAGCAATTCAAGGTAGAGAATTATAATCAAATTATGCCATATATACAACTCCTTTAAAGTACAAATGTAATAAACATGCTAAAAGACACGCTGGAACAGATCACGAGCTAGATTAAATTTGAAACGTCTCCAGGAGATAGCAGTGTTACAGGTTGAACACATATCAGTAGGGCAGTAACACAAATATTCTTTAGAACTCTTCACTTAAAAAAAGTATCCACTGTAAAAAAAAATAAGAAACCACTGCTAAATTTTTAGTGTGCAAAAACCTTTTAAATATCAAGGCAAGCTAATGAAAAACTGTCCTTTTATGTACATATTCTACAGTAAATGCTGTTCCAGAATTAGCCGAGCTAGCTCATTTACAGCCAATTTGTTTACTATTGCTTTAACAGTAAGACATTCTCTGTATACTGTTCCACAGGTTTGAGTGCAAAGATTCTATTGTGGTTCTTTACTGTTTATAGAGCATCCTTGAGACTGGAGTACTACACAAATAGAGGATACCTTTGCTTTGGATACTGAACAGCAATAATGATACAAAATTAAGGTTATTTTACAAGTGATTTTTCTCCCTTGGACAGTTTTAAAATCATGCTTTCACAGCATTTCAGGACAAAAGACTACCTTAGAAACTAAAAACTGCATGCAGAGATTTCAAAGCAAAGACTATCGCTATATTATAGTATATTAAGGTCTTTAGTGGCTGAACTTTACATTTCACATTGTTATGCATGGGCTATGTGATGGTTATGATGTCAGTGCATTGCTCTTTTGTCGCAGGATCTGCTGGGCAGAGGTCAGTATGTTAGTAGTAATCATCACTTTGCTTGATTGATGTATCCTGTGATGACACCATCACCATCATTACACTCTTCATTGCGGAGGTTGGACTTTTGTTTACTGCAGAAACTGGACTTCCGTCTACTGTGTTTCCACCCTGAATTTATGGATAAATGCATTCTTGTTAAGCATCTGAAATGCAGCTCTGGATTTTGTCCATCCATTGTTGTGCAATCTGAGCATCTTGTGCACAGAAGTTATAAACACGTTTGCTTGTCTTCAACTATATTAAAAGAAAAAAAGTTAAAGTTAACGTCAGAGATGAAAACATTTACAAATATTAATATTCAATATTCCACAATGGTGGCATTTTGCTTGCATGATATTGATACAAGGCGATTGTGGTCATACAGTACTTGTTTCTCATTAGGATCAGGTGCTTTTTTGGTCTGTAACTATGGGGGTGGGGGAAGAGAAGATAATAGTTCGGAGGGAGAGTCTTGATGGCTACCCTGACAGAAATGTAGTTGGACTGGGTCGCTTTCTTGTTGTGTTAATGAAAATCCAATGGTAACAAAAATATTTCCTAGTGCAATGAATGCCCCCTCCCCCCAGACACACACAAACAATGGTTGCAAACATGTTACTGGGAATTCCAGTGTTGTATATTTTGAAGAAACTGAATGGTTTCACATATTTACTTGAATTTAATAGTGATGAGGAATATGGCTGTTGTCCTCGCTATACATTACAAGACCGGGGAAAGCCATATTGGGAAATAATTTGGAATAGAGAGGGTTAATAATGTATGCTGTGCTTTAATGGAATGATGAACTATATAGACAACTTTAACTTAAAATCTGGAATGGTTCAGTTGTTGGAGATGCACTATTTACTCTCATTGTTTACTAATGTGGCTTTTCAGCTGTGCATAGTAGGTAGGTGATGTAACTTATTTTTCTTAGCAGTAAAGTGTTATGTATCCTATTGGGATTTCTGTGATGCATACTATATTGATGATGTAATTCTGTTCCAATTCAGCTGTGAAGTGTTATCTAAATCACTTGCTGAAAATAACCAACTAATATTTTGGTAATTTTTAGACACAGTAGTGTTGTATGGATGTTTACTATCTATGGGGCCAGCTTCAGCAAAGCAGAATGAGGAGTTTAACTGTGATTTTAGTCCTTTTCCATGTGGAGCGAAGCAGAAATTGATTGGATAAACGGTGATTTAACACCATGAGCTCCTCCTTACTGTGCACTGAAATCACACTGTGTCAGTATTTTGTAACAATGTAAGATTAAAATCTATAGTCTTTTGTAGACATGTAGTATTTAAGATTTTTATTCTACTTGGATGAGATTAGCTTATGCTTTTACCACTACAGCATAACATTTTTATTGTACAGTAGATCATGTTATTTTATGACTATACCTACTGGGCAGATCATTACATCAGCATTGAATCCACAATTTACATTTAATAGCCTTTTCGAAATATAATGAAAGCCTGGAATTTATACAAATCTTGAATTGTTTAAACAGCAAATCTTCGGTCTCAAGCAGATTCCCGCATACTCCTGTTTTTATTTGGTAGCCGGGTATCTGAAACATGTGCAACCCCATCACCATGCGTAAGAGTATCCAAACCAAGGTGAAATTTCCATGCATCCCACCTACTCATGGAAATCCCAGAGACAGACTGATGGAATGGAATGTGCGCTCTTATCCTGCCATCACAATGGCAATGCAAGAATTAAGAGAGCAGGGAAAAAAAACTCACATCAAAGAAAGCTTTCTCATTTGTATGTTTAGGTGCTCCTATTGTTGGTGTAGCTGGAATAACAGATTCAACCTCAGCCAGATCTATGAATCCTCTGGGGTTAGTATCTTCACCCGTATCATAGTACCGCAGCTGGAAATTGAACAGATTAATCAGTAAGAATGCAGGTATATTAAGAGGTATATTAATACAACTGTTATATTAATATAGCTCACAAAGTATAGTTCACAATTATAGGACTACATTTGACCAAAGCTGCAGCCAATTTCAAGGACAACATGAGCATAATGCATTACAAGACAAAGATCTGCAGAATTCATCTTTAAACTCCTTGGTTTAGCAGATGGGATTGGCAGGGTAATGTTTCTTAACACATCTGAATTCTATTTACATCACATATACATATTAAATTTCAGGATATTTGCTGGTTATATATAGTGTTATACAGATTCAGTGGAAATGTGAATTACCTGGTGTTTAGTTGTATCTAAAACAAACCATCGTGGTTTCCATCCCTTCAGTAACGCACCTCTCTTGTAAAGAATACCTTCAAAGGACCTATAGGAATTATTAAAAGGGAAGTTGATTTGGTCATCTGGTTTTGTTATAAATAAGCTAAAAAAAAATCAGAGTAAACAGTGGTTTAACCACACATAGAGAGGTGGTGAGCCAGAGGGATAGAGGGAGAAAGTTCTAGAGTTAGAGGTGTAAATTCTGGGGATTTGGTTACTTATAGCTGAGTTGGATAAAAAAGGATCCTGCATCAAAAGTAAATTATAATCAACAACTTAAAAGTATTAAACTATTCTCTGCAATTATATAAAAGAATATTCCCACCTGTTTTCCACATCTTTGGAAGTAAATTGATTGTAGAGCGTTGCTGCTCTCCTTGTATTAACTCCATTTGAAGGCGATGTGGTGGTGCTCCTGTCAGTGTCACCAATCCCACTGTCTGCCAAGTGCAACATAGATCTTCTCTGATAGGGCTGCAGGTTAGCGGCCATCAGTGCTGAAGCACCTCTCTGTTACATCAGGATACAGTAAGTGCAGCATGTGAAGACTGAACTAAATACAAACTCAAGCACAAAGTATGTTCTGAAATCCTGTCCACTCTTCTAAAAGGTTTAGCGATAATTTAAATAAATTTAGTCAACAAGCCAACTAATCGATTGGTATAGCAAACAAACAAGGATGCACCATCACTTTACTTTAATCCTTGTTCTTTGGTTGTATTCCAGTCATCATTTGGCCTTCCACTCCTACCTGTCAGATGACATGTTCACAAGTCTCCAATAATGCTGCAGTAATACCAATAGTTTCTACAATTCTTAAAGAGATTGGCCCAGGTAAAATGGGCAGATTGTCTTCTGTGCCAAAAAATTCTAGGACTTGCTTTTTAAAAAAAACATACGACAAGATATCAACTAGGGCTGTTGAATAAAGAATATTAGCATATTGTTGTTTCAACATTTTTTTCCTGAAGGCAAGTTCCTTTTCATAGGCATTTCTCATTTGTAAGTTCTTCCAGAAACCTCCAATGCCCAGTATGGCTGGATGTACAGCCTGCTATCAGATCACCAAACATCTCCACTTTGCCAGCTAACAGGAGCTGTGTGAGAGAGAGGCAAGACTCCCCACACAGTAAGGTGCCTGTCCTCTACTTTGCACCTCCACTTAAGAGTGACAGTGATCCAGCAAAATATCATCCTGACAACACTATGCTGCTGTGGGTTGGTGCCTCATTAAGTTATACCAACTTAATTGCCTAGATTTGCGATGTGTGGTACTCCCATCATTGTCACCAAGCCCTTTGGTTGCTAACTGTACACCTGGGATACTTTAGCACAAAACATGTTCCTTGACTTCAGTAAAAAAAAATCAAGCTAGTGAAATATACAATCAGGTCAAATAAATTGTACTTAATATTTTGTACAATGCTCTTAGACTGAATTATTAGGGATGTGAGAAAAATTAAACTAAGCTCTTAAACTGGGACTTTTCTGATGTGGTTGGCCTGTCCAATAAACAATGGAAGATTTGTAGGCAGCATAAGATAACAAATGCAAATTATGCTTTTTTCACCTACTCATATCAAACAACTACATGCATTTATATAGCGCCCTTCGTGCGGGATAAGGTCTTGGAGCACTTAACAGTGGCTGAGCTTGAAAATCAAGACAAGGAGAGCGTGGAGGCATGCTCAAAAAGGCAGGTCTTCAAGTGCAATTTGAAGACAGGCAAGGAAGAGGCAAGGCGGAGGGATTGAGGCAGAGTTCCAGAGTTACGAAGTTTAGCAGCTAAAAGCTCGGCCGCCAATGGTGGATTAGAAGGGATTAGGAATTTAAGATCTTGCTGGTATTTAAGATCTCTAAAAAAAACCTCAAAGGTGTCTGAATTCCCAAGGTTTTATTGTGCGGTAGTTTCCACTTAGTACCTGCAGTAAGAAATTAGTGCCTTGGTGATAACTTTTGGTTACAATATTGTGTGGACAACTAATGCAATGGTCTAAAATTTATTATGAAGTGGTAATGTACTTACAGCCATCTCTGGTTTGACTTCTTCTTTGAGGTTGACTTTTACTCGATCCCACATTGGTTTCCACTGTTCAGGGGTTTGGTTCAGCTCATTCTCTAGTCTTTCAATGTCCTAGAATTACAATACCTGATTTTAGAATCAAATCCATAATTGCAAAGAACAAAAAAAGGTGAAATCCAATTCAAATCCCCAAAAGAGGGGAGAAATGTTCTAGTGTAATCAGAATATACTATTAAAAATCATGATTTTGTTTAAAGACAGACCCTCATAAATTAAATTTTGAAGAGAGTAAATGAGGTAAGTCAAATTGAAGAGAGAAAATGAAGTAAGTTAAGTTGAGGTAAGTAGCCTATAGGTTATTGGAAAGACATTTGAAAGGTTTGGAGTTCTGGAAAAAAATGTCACAGTAGTAGATTGGGCTATTTGTTTTCTTTTTGCTCCAACAATGCTGGGAGAAGGAAGAAGAAAGCTTGATTAAGCATCTTGTCATCCAGTTATTCACCTTGATAACAGTTGTCAAGTTACCCTCATCCTAGCCCCACTACAGAAAAAGCCCTACATTTATGTTTGTTTTGTCCTTACCTCTAGGAGCTTGGTGATGGCATCCGGTTGCACTTTACTGACATTGTCGTAACATGGCCAAACCACTTTTCTGTGCGTTTGTGGAACCGAACCATCAGTCTGTTCAGGTTCCTCACTTGCTTTTACAGTGACCATATCCCATTCATATGAAGGACCACTTGAGAGAGTCTCTCCAGTGTAGTAATCCCATTTCTTCAGAGCAGAAATGTTTATGCAGGTCCTTAGTATGTGTTTCTACAAATAAAAAGTTAACTTTTTAGAAAGGTTTTTTCTTTTGAATAAAGACAAATTTAATATATTTAGCGTTGGCACAACACAAGAAAGAAATAACAGATCAATAACTACACAAATATCTAGATTTCATACCTCTCCTTCTTCAGCACTGAATAAATAGTTGAAGAAAACTGGGCCTTTCTTATGCATCTTGTCAATACAATCCCAAATACAGATGCCCTTCTTGGCCTGCTTGTCTCCCTTGTCTTCAAACAAAATTCCTTTTTTAAACAAAACAATCAGGGTTGATTAAAAAAAACATTAAATATATCAGTTTGGGCAGAGACAACCGGATTTAGGAAATGTTTCACTATATCTTTATTACAAGAACAACAACAAAATTACATTTGTAAAGCGCCTTTCATGTCAGGAAATAATAATATTTATTATTATTATAAGGTAATTATTTATTATTAAGGTATTATTTATATTATTAATAATATTACAATATTTAGAATTAGGTAATTTCCATTAAAAGCACACCATCTCAAAACTGAATCTAGATAAAACTATTGTTTCAAATTTCTGTATAATCAGTCCTCTGGCTGGAACTACAGACAATTCCCAAACCAGGTGTAACATTTATTTGCCAAGCACAATGGTTCCTCAGTTAGCTAAGACTCAGCTAAGATTATTAATTTATCAATGTTCAAAGCATTACACATTAGTTTAGGTTTTCACACATTATGTTGATCATTCCATGGAATCAGTTTTATTTGCATAAGCGTTCTGTGAGACATTACGTTCAAGCCAAATCTGTTAACAATGTGGATTTAAAAATGGATGCATAATTTAATGTAAAAAAATGCAAAACTGAAGATGGTATTTGTATTTTTAAGATGTAATATTCCTACTGCTACATTTAGTAACTGTATACTAGTAGGCAAATACAGCAGCCAATTTGTGCACAGAAATGTTCCACAAATAGCCAAGAGACGAATGAGCAAATTAACTGTAGGATTGGACATTGGGAGAAACTCCCTTCTCTTTTCAAATTGTGTTCTGGGTTCTACAACATCCACTTGAACAGGTAGACAAGCCCTAGGTTTAATACATCATCTGAAGGATGGTATCTCCAACAACAAATATTATTGTAACTAGCTAAATATTAAATAAACTTTACATAGATTTTTAGCATGAAACAGGTTATCCAGCCCAGCTTGTCCATCCTAGTGTTCGTACTCCACTCTCTTTCCACTCCTTACTCCCTCCTTTCTATTCCCTTCTTCCTTATAGAAACACGAGGAGGCCATTCATCCCCTCAAGCCTGTTCCACCATTTTATAAGATCATGGGTGATCTGCACCTCAAGTCCAGTTACCTGCCCCTGCCCCATATCCGTTAATGACCTAACAAATATATATCTACCTCCATCTTGAAAATGTGAATGGATCCTGCATCCACGGCCTTTTAGGTTCCAAATTTCCACAACTACTTTGTGTGAAAAACTGCCTCTTAATTTCACTCCTAAATGCCCTAGCTCTAATTTTAAGATGATGCCCCCTTATTTTGGATTCCCCCACCTTTCTCTGTATCTACCCTATCAAATTCCTTTATTATTTTAAAAACCTCAATCACATCACCCCTCAAACATGTCCTCATAATTTAACCCTTTAAGCCCTGGTATCATTCGGGTGAATTTGCACTGCACACCCTCCAGGGTCAATATATGTGGAGTCCTGTAGCTCAGTGGTGAGAGCACTTGCTTCACAAGCGAGAGACCTGGGTTTGATTCCCGACAGAGTGAAATGTTGGGCAAGTTTCCTTACTCCACACACCTCTGTTTACCTAACAGAAAGGAAGAACCTGGTTGTTAGTCGATTGGCGGATCGCTTTTCCGGGGGTAATAATTCCTTAAAAAAAATTGGTCACTAAATCGACCACTGTTTGTGGGACACTGCAATTGGCTACAGTGTATTCTGTGAAGCGCTTTGAGACGTCTTGAAGACGTGATAAGGTGCTATTTCAAAAAAAATGCAAGGATTATCATTATTACAAGCGCTCCTCCAACACTACGTTGGAACTCAGTCTTGACAACCAGCTCAAAATCCCCCAAACAGGATTTGAAGTTATAACATTCTGACCTAGAGGTGAGAATCTTACCAAGTGATCCAAGCTGACATTGACGTTTCTAGAATTAAGAGTTTGGTCTAATCCATTACCATTTTATTAATAACATTTAGAGCTCTCTGTAAAGCTAAAGGTTAAATATTTGTCTTTAGGAAAATGTACCATGTTCTATCCTTTCGTAGTCTGAGTCCAGCAGAAAGGTTTTAAACCGATTGGAGACGTAATGGTAGGCCAGAAACTTCAGATAATACTGATTGAACTCAAACTCTGTAGGGTGCTGGTGGTGAATCTAAGGAAAACAGAAAGGAAACAAGAAATAAAAGCAAGCAAGGAACATTACAGGCCATTTGGCTCATCACCCGGCTTCTTCTAATGGTCTTTGCACAACCTGTACTGCCATGGATACTATTTTCAATTCAATCCATCCCATGAGGAAGCCAACAAACTAAGACACTGCTGAAAACTCTCAAAGGTTTCCCCAGGTCCAAAGAAAGGGTTACATGAGCTAGTTATTCCATTTGGTAAAGTGCCTAGTAATGAAATATTGGAATTCAGTCTATCTTTGTAGCTGTCTCAGTAGTCCAGTACTGAGTATTTGGACATTTACATGCACTCTATACCCCACTGCAGCTCAATGTATCAGCACATTTGATGTTTTAGTTTTCTGAATGGATTTGCAATTGTGCTGAAATAACAAGCACCAAAATCAAATCTGAAATATTATGCTCCCAGATTAAGCTACTATATATATATATATAAAATATAAAGTGGATATAAAGAATGTTTCACTTCCACTGAGGTGGCTTTTGCTGCATTGGTTTTACTGCCTGCAGATCATAATGTCCATGCTGTAAAAATAAACAGCTAATTTTTCAAAATCAAGCGAGTAGATTGTTGTTCTTGATCTGGGTTTTAGCTATAGGTCTGATGTGATTTACCTGCTAATTACAGGCACCAGTGGGTTGGCTGCCTGTCCTTTAGGGGACAATACTTGGTGAAGGAAGACTAGAGTTGGGGATTTAATTAAAGTAATTCAAAAACTCAAATTTTAAAGTGTTTTGCTCTAATCTTATTCAAATTACATGATACTTCCCTTAAAATCATATGTCACGGGGTTAACTGTAGTCTGTACTGTGACCATAAAAAACAGTTTGAGAATTAAATCAGTCCCACTGAACTGTAGCTGTGCAAACTTTATAAAGAACAGCACGTGATGCAATGTACTTTCATATCATTGCAATTGTATATAATGTAAATGTGATAAATCACATGTGTCTGGGACACCATATCAAATGCAAGGATTATTATTATTATTGCTGCTTTTATACTACATCTTAGCTTAAGGACTAATATGCTAACTTTCTCAAGTGTCATCATACACAATTAGCTATGTTTATCTTTGTTTTGATATCTTCCAAATAACATACATTAATGTGAAACAGATTCACAAACTGCCACTAAAAGTAGTTTTTTTCTTTTTTACCTGATGTACACAATCAAGAAACTGTAGGAAAATGGGAGCAAAGCCACTGCTTTGACTGTTGGGAGTCAGGTTGCTGCGCTGGCTGAATTTGTGGCCAAAGGATAGCCATTCCTTCTCAATCAACATTTTAAAGCCTTCCAGGGTTCTGTAGAATGGGTCACACAGCAACTGTACCAGGGAGATTACCTAGTTTTAAAGAAAAACACTGATGTAAAAAGGGAAATATTTGACAGAATATCTAACATTTTATAGAGTTAAACACAACTTTTGATAATCATTTTGGATGTAAGCAAATGCATACATTGGGGAGAGAAAAAGCATATGAAAACAGGAAATATCTGCTGATTAAATCACACACTGTACTGGCTGACTGCAAGGGCATTTAGGGTCTCAAACTCAACATTCAAAGAATTTTATGTGGTCAAACCAGTCACATAAACCATTACTGCAGAGTAAAAGGACAGCTTTCGTTAGTGCTCACCATTCAGTTTTTTTTTAAAAAAAGCCAAAAGTATGTTATTTTTGTGCTTACAACATTATATTCAGAAGTATTGTATTTCACCATTTTTGCCTGGCTGTAAACTTTACATAATGTTGAGCAAATACAAAAATGTAGTGTTCCCACCATATGTCAGAATAATAAGATGCACTGTAATGTTATTTGTAATCTTATATGTTCTTATGTTATTTTAAAAAAATCAATTAGGGATTTTAGAAGTACTGATTATTGTGACTACAACAACAACAAATTACATTCATAGAGCTTCTTTCACGTCAGGAGGGCGTCCCAAGGTGCTGGACAGTCGGGGGTCGGGACCCGAGCATGGGGGAGGGCTGGGGTAGGGGTGAGGGAAGGCAGAGAGGTGGGAGGGTACCGATGGCATGATCGAAGAGAAGGGTCTTGAAGGAGGCAAAGGAGGAAGCGAAGCGAAGGGACTGTGGGATGGAGTTCCAGAGTGTGGGGGCAGAGAGGCTGAAAGCCCAGCCACAGATAGTAGGGCGGGAGACATGGAGCAGACCGGAGCCCGCTGAACGGAGGGAACGGGCAGGTTGGTAGTCAGCAGGTCAGAGAGGTAGGAGGGGGCAAGGCAATGGATGGCCTTGAAAGTTAGGATGAGGATCTTGAATTCGATCCTCTGACGGATGGGGAGCCAGTGGAGTCGGGCGAGGGTGGGAGTGATAGGGAGCCTGGTGCGGGAGAGTCCACGAGCTGCAGGGTTTTGGATGATCTGCAGCTTGTGAAGAGAAGAGTTGGGAAGGCCGATGATGAGGACTAATATGTAATTAAATTTTAAATTTGATCATGTATATACAAATATATGCGATACTAAACAATCTGTAAACATCCAAGATTCCGATGAGAAAATTTCACTCGAGTTTGTTGAAGATCAAAAATGGGCAATGTTTAGGAGGTGTCGTTTTGCAAGCACCAATGTTAAAGAAATCAGTGGTTTTATATAAGTGTGCCTTTAAACAAGGAATACAATAATAATTTTGGTGAAGGAATATAAATAATTGTAACAGCTTTGTTAGCAAAGAGGTGAGAGACTTTCAAACAATTAATCTGAGCTGCATTCAAACCATTATTTCATGGGTAAAAATTCAACTCTCTTCAAAAGGGACATACTTGTGCAATTATTTTATGAAGTTATTACCTGGGTTGTGATATCCATACCATCTTCCAGGCTGACCATGACTGAGGAACCACTCTCAAGGAGCTCTGCAATCAATACAGCCAGCTGCAATATTCTATGGAGCTGAGAAAGCAAAAGGAAATCAGTAGTTGAAAGGCAACAATATATTATGTCATTCACGTTTCATTTACATAGTAAACCAATTTAACTAAACATTTGGAAATGAAAATGCATTAATTTTATTGCTGGAAGTGCAAACTATCTTTTGCAGGAAGAATGTTATTGTTCTTGAACTTTGTTCTGAAAAGCACTGCTTCTGGGGAAACATATGAAATAAGGCAGCGATGCAACTGTTCCCTGAATAATATTTTATAATTCAACATAAAATGCACTGCTCTTCTCAGCGTACATCACACAGGCAGGTTCGCTTCATACTTTTGAACATAGATGAAATCCTTTAAAGAATTACCTGCAGGAGCCATTCCGACTCCCCCAGTAACCTATAAAAAGTTACTTCAGGGTCAGTGGGAAACGTGCTTGGTACACATGCTCTCATCAGCTTTTTGAAACTGGCTTTTACTTGACGAACATCGCAGTAGTCCACAGGTACAAGCTCACAGTTCAATGCAAAGTCAAGTTTGAAGCCCTGAGAACAAAAAAAAAGGATAGTGAATAAATGTGAACTGTGAAGCCATTTCAATTCTATACATATTGCAATTTCAACAGCTACATTAGTTAACATGATTCTACTTGTCTGTAAAGAGTTTGTAATAATTATTGCAAGTGCTGGAAGCAAACACTATTGCACTAATATATAGATGTTTATGTGTAAAATCTGTTTGAATACTGCGGATTCAAACAGATCCTTTCAATAACGGCTAAATCACCAGCAAAATAGATACTTTGAAGGCTCTTCACATTTAAGAAAATTATTCAGGTAGACTAGTACAAAGAAAATCAATCTGAAACACGGAAAACTCAATTCCATCTTACCCTCAGCTGAGATTTTTCTCCAAACAGGTACAGCGCTGCTTGGTGCTTCAAAAGCTGGCTCTGCAGTTGACTGTCGTGGCTGACGTTCACAGGGCTATCTTTTCCTGCCAACCTAGCTCCGACATCAGTCGTTGGAAACTGGGCATTAAAGCGACTGCTGGAGCGCAAACTGGCCCACATTCCTAAGGTGAACGAAAACAGAAACTCATTTTTGGACACTTATCGGACAGGCACAGCATTTCCAAAATAATTTAGATCACTTTGTAATGCATTGAATTATGGAATAGAATAGAAACATTTCAAAAATATTACGTGTGCACATCCTGTGTCATATAAATATAATTAGATACATTTCTTTTAGGAAATAATATCTTTGGACACAGTATCCTGTTTGGGACATGACATGTGAATGCAACTGCCCGGAAGGTGGAAGGCGAATTGGATGCACCTTGGTCTTCTTTCATCTGGCAATTCTTATAATTACTGCAGATGAATCTCTGAGGTACCAGAATGTTAGAAAATAACCACTTGTGTATCTAATGTTAAAATGATTCTTAATATCAATCTAATGCTTTGATTATCATTTGGAAAACATCAAAGGTTGGTTTCAATTTCTGGCACCAAATAAAAATGTTGTTTCTGTTTATATGTTAGCCATTCTGGTGCAACCACCTGGTCATTGAAGTCCCAGCAGCCAGGCTCCATCATGAACTACTTTGCAATTGTGTGAATCAAGCTCAATTTACATCGAGTTGTTCATGGGGATTCATATGATTTGTATGGTAGATTATCGCAAAAAGCAGTGTAAACTTGCATTAATTGTTTATCTGCAACAGATGATGTCCAACATTATCCTCTCCCATTGATGGTATTGTTCATTAGTTAACCCAAATGCTACAGTGGCTCTTTTTCACATTTGGAACAAAGGGAAAAAGTTACTTGAACCAGATAACAGATGGTCAATGGATTAACTTTAAAATGTATACCAGTCCCCCCATTGGTTTAGTCCCTGCTTATCCAGTGCAAATCCTGGCCACAAACCAACTCAGGATTGTATGCACTTTTGTAATTCACCCAAACCATCTGTTTTTCTACAAATACTCATGTATTTTTGATTTGTGAGATATTTAGAAAATGCACATTACAGAATTATTACATTCAAGCAGATGTTTAAGACAAACAGAAAAAAGGATGCATTAGTCATGGAAAATAACCGTTTTGCAAATGGTTTATCTTCCTAGTAAGAATAAGTTGTTGAATATGTGGCGTTTCCAGAGCAGACAACGTCGATACTAAAATAGAGGATACTGACTTGCGCCTAATGTAATGCCATTTGATTTTTTTTAAAGCTTCAAATGTATGTTTCAATGGGTTGCGGAAAAGTCATGGTTCCACAGTATTATGTTTTAAGTAGTTCAGCAGGATTGCTAATCTCACTGATAGCAATCACAATGCTACCTTGAAAGTTTTACATTTCACCTGAAGCATGTCATTGGTATCAAAGTGAATAGGTTATTACAGTAATACTATACAAATGACATATGTTCTGTATCAGCCAAACATTTTCGAAAGTAGTGGGAGGATCCTGCAGAGAAAAGATCTGAAACAATTCAATGTATGCAATGAATGTTAGATGTGGTTTTGTGACTTTTATTTCATGAACGTTTAATGGCAGGGAAACCAATATGGTCTAACCACAATCTGGAAGGACACATGACTTGTGCCACAACCAAATGGCCTCTCCATCCACACAATGAAAAGATGTTATAAGCAATGGAACAGCATGGTATGGTTCATAAAGAGACAGAAAAATAGAATTTTGCTCGCTGAATTGCATCTTAATGCATATTTACAAATAAATGATTAGCAGTCTAATGGTTAACTTATTTGTGGATAGAGAAGCTGATGAGTAGAATCAGGACAGAAGAAACAATACCTTGGTTGAAGACTTTTCCCTTGACTGTACTCTTTTGCTGAGAATGAGTGAACAACTTATCCCTGTACCCAAGGACTGGTAGATCACAGCAACGACAGAGAAAGAATTTGAGAAATTTATATACGAAAATCAGATTGACAGAAAACTGCAAGTAATCAAAATACAGCAGAAAATTGAGGGTTGTGTCAAGAGATGATAAATCAATAAACTGGCTAAAATTGTTAAATAGCAATATAATCAGTAATGCCAAGCATATATGGCTGCGTATCATATCCAATTAATCATGTTTGTAATCAGCAGCATATGATTACCCAAATGACTAATTGGCCCAACCACAAAACCATTAAGTACCCAACACAAAATCAAGCCATTAAATAAATTTAACACAAAAAAGCATATAGGAGCAACCATCATTTTTTTACGAAAAAAGGATGCAAATGATCAAGATTAACAGTTTACAAAATGATTTGTGGAAATGTAAATACTGAATTAAAATGGTCCAACAATCTCAAAGCATAAAAGCATTAAGTGGAAATCATATTTAAGATTAGTTTAACCCATAGTGTGTAGCAATGCATCCAAATAAAGTTCTTGACATAAAAAGAGAAAACTAATGTGTGTCCTATCAACAGTAAAACTGGAACATGTGTAAGGAATTCTGTGCTGCCTGAGCTGTCTAAATTTTAAAAAAATAATCCTTGCACTTGCTAACTTTTTTTCTTCTATGAGGCATGTTTTTTTTCCATTGTCTATGCCTCGCTCTCCAATCTGGAGCTAGAACTAATATTCCTGAAATTCAGTCCTTCATTGTCTAAATACTCTTCTCCAAAAGCTGTTAACTCAAATAATTAGATGATGGACAGTCAAGTTTGACTCAATTATGTATTAATTAATTTAATCACTTTTGTTGGCAATCCTTCAGAAGTTGTCTGTCCACTCGCCATCAATCCATATTGCCGCTTCTGGAATTCCTGATCTGAGCCTTACTGCACAGAGATTAGGAGCAGGAAAGGCAATAGAGCTTGTTACAGGGAGGATGGAACATCAGACAAAGAGCTCCTCAATGCCAGGCTGGTGGTTACAGTCAATATCCACACTCATTTAAGGTTTGCAGCTGAGGTACAGGAAATTCTGTTCACTGTCCTTTTCTATTCTTCCCTCCAAATGATCTACCCTTTGCAGGTCTGAAAATCCATTTTAAATTACGGTTAAATGATGGTTATACAAGTTTAGGACTGAAAATTAAACTGTTTCATTGGCAAAATGTAACCATATGCATTTCTGCACAGAGAAGTGACCAATCAATAAGTGGCACTTCAATGTTTTAAAAAGCATCCATGAGGAGGTTAGGGGCAAAATTCAGTAGAGACAGACAATGGCTCTTTATACCAAGATAAGGATGCAGCACTACTAACCTCCACGTGCAAAACTGTTTGGAAGATGCACATCTGAATGTCCTGGAACCACTTGCTTTACAACAGTGGTCACGCGAGAGGACCGTTTGTCAATGTTTGCATCTGGTACAAAAATAATTGAACTCTTAAAAGTTGTGTATTTGAATTATTTGAAAATATAGAAACTATACATCTCCTCCCTGCAAATCAGTTTGGGGCAAAAAACTGAATTTAATACTAAACATGTTGAGTGAAACGAAGCAGATTTGCAAGATTAAACAAGTTCTGGTGAAGATAAAGAAATGAAAGGATAGTATTAAAGTGAACTGAAGTTAGAAGTATACAATTATGTTGCTTATCGATGGAGAACAGAATGGGTGACTGGTTTGATCAGTTCAAACTCTCATGCACTAATGTTTCAAGTCACATGCCTCAGATGTTTGATGCTTGCCTTTTACGATCTATCATTTTCAGTGTTTACATGCAGGGAGCTACATTTCCCAGCAATTTCCTGATACTTGCACTATTAAATTGAATCAATGAATACTTTTATAGAACTGCACCTGGAGAAAGTGTGACAGCGGGTCGGCTGGCAAGCATGCTGCAACCGTTTATTTTGGATAGGTTGGGTACTGAACTCAACAAGGCTTGTAGATATTTTTCTTGTTCGATGCTGCTGGAGGATTCCGAGGATGCAGGAGCTAAAAGAAAAATGAATCCCATTAATGAATGAATGATGAATTCATGAATAGTCTTTTTTAATAGATTTTAAAGTATAGAGTTCTTTAATAAATGAATTAATCTTTATTTTTTTCTCTCTGGTTCCCCTTTCTGTACAAAACTTGTGAGTATGCATTCTCCTTCATTCTGAGCATAAACAAAATGTTCTTTATACCAAGATAAAGATGTGGCATCTTCTCTCTTGCAGGAGAAAATCTGTCTTCTGATCAACAATTAATTAAACTGCTGCAAACAATACTGATTACTATCTTCTCATTTTGTTGTGCTTTCTTCTGATTTTCACATGTGGCCTGACTTATTGAAGAAGCATAACTAGAATAATTAGTCACTGATACACCTTGCGTTAATGCTGGTACAGCTAATACTTGGGCACAGAAGCTCAAGCAGATGTTTCTCAAATACTTCTGTTTAAATAAAATTCAAAACCATAGACACAAATATTACAATGGATTACGACTCCCTGAAATTTAAAAACACGCTCCTTAAAAGCAGCTATGTTTTAAAGATCATTGAAAGAAGAAGGCTGGAAAATGCATGTACATTATCTGGTAGCCCAGAAGAACAGCAGTTAAAGTCTCTGATTTAAGATTGCAGGGACCGCAGCAGGTTGAATACTATGACAGCGACATCTCAATAGGTTAATTGTTGATCTGCTTCAGTATCTGGCACCAAACTGGACTCCAACACAATAAGGGAGGTAAAAAACGGGCCACTCCAGCCCTCCTGCTAGCTAATTGATGGATATGAGAAGGTGATTGTGTGCCTCCTGTCAGCTGATTGATGAAGTAGAACTCCAGCAGTGAAGGAATTTGGGTTTCACTTGTCCATTCGATAAATCAGGTGGATGGTGTAATGCTTAAATGTGGATTAAAAATGATACAACTTATTTACAAGTATATAAATTGGACTTTCGGATCATTTATTTCTAAATTAAAAAAAACAGCTGTTAACTCTATATTTAAATTGAAGGATACGATTAAGAAAGGATGCTTAATTGCACCAGGTTAAGGTCGACTTTATTTTGCTTCTAAATGTTTCCATTCTATACAAATCAAATTAAAACTTGGATCTGAGTTACCTCCTGTTGTGAAGCAATGATTTTGTAGTGTGCTTTCGGGGTAAGAGGAGAAATTGCACTGATATACATTTTTAGAAGACATGGAAATCTCACCAACTGAGTGTGGATTCTGGGATTTGAAGAGTCCAACAACTCCCTTTCCATGGAATCCACCAGACCGCAGCAGAACAGCCTTTGTTTTGGAGTGTTTCCAGCATACAACTGGCAGCCTGTTGTGTCGATAACAACGCGCTACCTTCTGTAAACTGGCATCTTGTACTGACTGAGGTATTACCACAAGTCCAGGGTAGCTAAAACCGAAAAAAGGAAAGATGACTAAGTTAAGACAATATGTATCTCAACGGAACATTAATGAAAGACAACAACTACAGCTGGAAGGACATTGTTCACAAGATTTGTATTTTCCAATCAAGGATTGTTTACTGAACGGAGGCTGCACATAAAAATGCATGAATCTCATCAGAGAAAGGATTCTTAATTACCCTATCAGTGTCAGCTTGGTCTATTGGTAGCACTCTTGCCCTTGGCTCGGGCGAGAGGTGTCTCAGGTCTATCTATAGCTCACCTCTTTAGGCTGGGAAAGGAAAGCCCTGAGCAGGACCACAGCCAGAATTCCAAGCAGCCCTAACCCGCGGCACACACTGGCCCTCTCTTGCCCCTCGCCCAACTTGTCATCGGCGCCCACCCACTCTGCTCATGGCTACTCATCGGGGCGTCCTCACTTCTGATTTGAAGCGTATGGACGTCAGGCAAGCCAGTGGCTCAGCTGTCTTAAAAGGGACCAATCCTTTAGCTGAGTTTTACTCAGCCTCCTGCCCCCCACCCCCCCCTCAAAAGAATACTTTCACCCGCCACTCATGTCAGGGCTAGAGCTGATTGTCAGGGGTCAATTACCTTTTGCCTCCGTGTGGCAACATTTTACCCTACAAAACACTTAATATTCAACATCTCACAAGTAATTACTGTTAAGAGAAAAGAATGCGATAAGAATGTTCTTTGGAGTCAAAACATTGCTGATTTACTGCCCCGAATTTATAACGTTTCACTTTTTTAAGACAAATACCACTTTGTTAAACACTAGATGGCAGTATTCAATCATTCCGCTGGTTCCCATAATATCCCCTCCTACCCCACCCAAATTGTCAAACTTAAGCTGCACCAATTCTTAGAGTTGTCTTTCCACGGGTCCTCTGTGGTGTCACCCATGCTTCACAAACCTTTAAATATATGCGTTCGCAATATTCACATTATTAACCACATTGTATAAAAACAGTCACACCTAAACTCACTTTGACGATTTCAAAGGAAGCTAAGGAAATGTACAACTTAAAAAAGAAAAATCTATTTTTCCCCTCGCTTAGTTGTGTCTGTGCAATTCAAATGTTACAGACTGATCCATTAAAAAAAAGGCTTCAATTATCAAAGAAAAACTATAACTGGCTCCCTTCCCCAACACATTAGTATCAGTGGTTTGTTCCAATTGTAGCACATAGTTGGAATGGACTCCTAAATTCTGAATTCTACATGCTTGTGAAATGACTGCTTCTTGGGAGTTTTGACCAAGGAGGAAACAAACAATATGCAGTCCAAGGTCCAACACACGCCATCTAACTGCTGGGACTTAGATACAAGCGAAGCAGTGGCTCGAGATAGGTTCAAGGAACTGAAACCAATGAATTCCCTGGGAATACACTCCAGAGTACTTAGAGACAAAGGCAAGAGATGCATGAAGGAAAAGCTGTTGTTAACTTTATGGGATTCAACAACAACTTGGATTTATATAGTGCCCTCCACGCTGGACGGCGTCTCAGAGCGCTTTGGATTCAATGAACACAATTTGCATATGCAAATTTGATCCAGACCAGACGAATATTCCATCTTAGAACAAATCTTATTAGCGAACTCGCACTCCAAATTTATATTGCCACAACCATAAGGTCAACCATAAGAATTCTACAAGAGAATAGTTGAATTGCTCAATGCTTGAGCTGTACCAACTTAAAATAATAATCCTAACATTTGGTTTAATGCCTTTCACATCGGGAGGACATCTCAAAGCGCTTCACAGGATATACTGTAAAGTGCAGTGTATTGTGTGGGCAAGCTGGATAGAACAATTGGAACTAACAAAGCTTCAACAAAGCAAAGCAATATGCATTCCGACAAAAACTCAAGCACTCTTGATATTTAATGGCACGAGTCCAATCCTCCTGGAGCATTGGATATATGCTGTCAATTAAGAGGTAATGTGTGTGGTCAGCTGGATGATGTGATACATGCGGAAACCCATCACCACTCTTAAGAGATGCACATATGTATGCCACAAATACGTTGAAATTATCATTTGTCTGAAATGGAATGCACACTCTCTCCCTGGAGGGAACACACTGCTTATCGAATTTGAAAGTAATAAGTGCAGATTGCCAAGGAATGGGTACCCTAGATTGTGCACTATGGTATTTCTGCAGCTAAACTAGATAAAACAGCATAGTTTGCACTTGAGAGCATTGTCTGACAAGCTTCCACTGCCTGTCCAGCTAGGGTCACACTAGTTATTTGGGTTTGGGTTAAGAGGAGCTGAGTGTGAAGAATCCTGTCTCCCAGTGACAGGTCTGCCCATCAATTCCTGCTGATGAGCCAGGCTGGTTGGTCTGTCATCAGAGGTGCCCTGGAGTAAATACAATGATTTATTACATCATTGTTTTCTAACCGGTTACTCTTAAGATGTAAGAAGAATTTATAGCACAGAAACAGGCCACTTGGGCCAACTGTTCCGGTGCCGGTGTTTATAGTCTACACCAGCCTCCATCCACTCCTTACTCTCTCCCATATCTTTCTATTCTCCTCTCCATCATGAGGAAGTCTAGCTTCCTCTTGAATGCATCTCTACTAATTGATTTTTACTGTTTTAAATGGTACCATAGAGATGGTATAATTTTCCAAGCTGGACCGATTCTTACAAATACCACAAGCATTTGACCACCGCTTACTTTGAAAGCCTTTACTTTGAGAGAAACTGTTGAATTACAATTGTTTGGCATCATATTGGAGGTACAATTCTATTCAGTTTAGTACTCAACACAAGTTTAGTATTCAACTACACGTAATTTGCTTTTTATGTTACCTGGGGCTGTCTCACACAGACAGGCCAGTTGGCCTAGTGTAAACAATGTCTGGGAAAGCTTAGAAGGAGCTTTTTGTTGAATGTCAATGCCATCATTGGATCCAAAAGTAAGAAAAAAAAGTTCTCTCATCAGTGAAAAATTGTTCCAGAACAATCTTCTAACACTTGGTTGTGCACAAGTACCTACATCAATGATTTTGCTAAAGAAATACCACAGCAATCCTCAAAGGGTTTCCCATGAAGCAGTTATCCATTTATCACATCACAGTTTACATTGTAGCTTTGATAAACTAGCTCTCCATCTCTGAAACTCTCTATAAAATACCACTTGCTGTGGTCCCAATCTTGCACAAAAATAACTTGGAATCTTTGTTGGTAATATGCCAGCTGTCCAATTAACTTGAACAGTGTGACTCAAGTGAAGAAAAATTCACTGATTGCCAGAGACCAGTATTGCCTATGACATCGATAAACTATTCTTTAAATTTAGATCGCAGAATAGAAAGAAATCCACCAACCTTCTGCACAATAGATACATCCGATTGACAGCAGTTATCCTGAAGTGCTCAGTCTTTGACCGGGAGGAGCTGGCACTAATAGTTCCAAGACCAAGGCGCTGGTAGTCCCGGAAACAGGCTCTTTCTACTAACTGCTCCATGGTTGATTTTTCTGCAGCTTTCAAAGTGCTACTGGTGGGAAGTTCACCATCATCTGAAACTATTATATGCAATAGTACAGAGAACATTAGAACAACCAGGCATTCAATTGTTATCCTCATTGCATATACTGGTCAAATAAACTGACCAGGTGAGGAGATAATGCAATGCCAAAGGAGCTGGCAGATACCTTTTAGATTTTACGGATGAGTAAATATGGAAGTCCACACCCCAATTGTGCTCTAAGTGACCCACCCCCCCCGTTCATTATAGCGGGATTCTAGGGTATTGAGAATCCCTTCAGTTGCTAACTTAGGTTTCTTATTTCCAATTTGATTACTGCTTTCTTCTAATTAACTGCCTGCACACATTTCTTGGCTCTATATAATCACGATCAATTGTTAAATTAGACTACTGGCTGGCTTGTTGCTTGTAGAACTTTTAGGCATTTGTTTTGTTGCTAAATGGAGATGTCTCCAAATTTGCTTCAGATCTGGAAGAATAACATCTTTGCCAAACTTCGTGCTTGCTGAGAGATCGCTTAAGGATGTAAATGCAGCCGAATTCCTCTTCTGTCCAAACTGACTGGGCTCACTCCAAAGAAGAAGCACTTACATAAATAAAGCTCCCAACTCAATTAGCCATGCAGCGTAATTGGTGACTTGGTAAACAACATTTTTGTTTGATTTATCTTTCATCTTTGAAATTTTGCTTTTTACAGGATGGAATGGATGTTCTTTATCCTTCTCATAAGCATTCCCTTAAGAGAATGTCCTATCTACCTTTCTCCAGAAGCACTGCTACCTGCTTAGGTGAAATTTAAATTTGCTACATCTAAAGATTCAGTTTTGTAATGCACTCGAAATCATTATTATAAAAACAAGGTCAAATTATTTTCCTTCTCGATAATAAAAAGGGTAACAAGTGAAGTTTAAGCAAAACAAAGCTTAGTAATAATGACAATCTCTCGATTTGTCCCATTTCTTAAAAAACAAATTAGGGATGATAGAAAAAAAGACTTATGTGAAGTATCAAATAAAATGCAGTTACAGTTTCTTCCTGACCCACAATTGTTGGAGGTACAACAACAAATTACATTTGTATAGCGCCTTTCATGTCAAGAGGACGTCCTAAAAGGTACACCTAAAAGAGTTGGAGTACACATTTAGAAATGTAAAAAATTTTTTCCTTGGTTGATATTGCCTCTTGAAGTCTGTTATCAAATGTAGCAATGCATTTGATAAGACTAAGGTGTTATACTTTAAGTGACATAAAAAGCAATTTATCCCATTTCATTAAAGGTTTTCTTAGAATCTGGGAAAATGGCCATAGCCAGAAGTCAATTCTGTTCGCTTCATCTTTCGTATTAACATTATCTGATGTGTACCTCCTATTCAGGGCATTGACCTGATCATTGATCCAGGATGGGTTCTAATGAAATTAACATTCTTTTTGCATTTTGGGAGGGGGAAAGAGGGCGAAGTAGCATTATCTGATTAAATTTTATTGTATCAGGAAGTTGTTTTTGGCATGCAAACCAATTGAAGGTTTCCGATGAATTGGGCCCAAGGCGGAGAAATTATATCTTATAACATTTTGTGGTTAGACCATTTAACCTAGTAGATTTGTTTTCTGGCAGAGATCAAACTGTCTTTTCCAACTCTTTTAAAACTGAAAATACTTTTCAAAACCTTAGGTATTTTTAGGTACATTAAAATATGGTTCTTTTTCATTTGCTTCTCCAGGGAATCATTCAATTCTAAAACTGTCCTAAAGCATCTTCCACTTTTGTATCACATAAGGCTCAGGTTTTGGTTTCTATGAACTGAAATCCAAGTATCATACGTGTGACCGAACGTGAATGTGCAATTAATTTTATTGAAATTAGATGTTCTTAGGAGCTGCAACCAATCTATATTAATATTTTATATTAGTCAAGAATACCATGAGAAACTCCCTTTATAAACAGAGAACCTTTGCCTGTCAGGGGGAAAGGGGTAACTGGAAGAACACATCATGCAGGATGGTCCAGAGTGCCTTCTGGTTGGGAGTTATGGAGACAATTACTTAAGAGCAGATCATGCATCTGCCTCTTTGGTTTTAGCTATTGGATGCAGAAAGCATAATGGCATTACAAAACTAAAGGCATGGGGATTACTTGCGTGTAAATATAAAAGTGACGTGATCTTGCATTACTTATTGAACACCACCTAGAGTTTTATATAAACTGAATGATTGAATATGCCTCTATCTTACCGGAGATTTCATCTTCTTCATTCTGATTCCAACCGGTTCGATTTGTTCTTTCATCCACTGTCATTAGACTTAGTTTCTTCTTCACAGAATACTGACGGCCTATAGTCATTTTTCCAGCCTTCTTTGCACTTTTCACAATCGTCTTCGAGAAGGTGCTGAAAATCAATTTAACACAGTGTTAGCAGCAAAATCTGAACTTAAATAAAAAACTTGAACAAGGCAACTTTTGTGCATGTTTTATGCACGCGTTCACACTTACAGGAAAGAAGTATTTTTTTCCTTTTGCTTAGGCAAAATTATCTGTGGTGCATTCTGGCCTGCAGCAAAGGCAAAAATGCTGAAGAATGACTGAGGATATCGAAACTTTGCGATGTGCTTCTTGAAGACTTCCACCATTTCAGAGTTCACTTCTTCATCAAAAGCTACTTTAATTAACTGCAAAGGTAAGACAGAATCATTTACTGCTTTTTGTTTTTATTGTTGAGCATGTGAGAGTTGCTATGTCTGATGAAGGCTATTTATCACTAACGTTTCTCACCAATTAGATAAATCTTCAAAAATGTTTTCAATTTTATCAGTGATTTCTTCATACAAGATTTAGAACTTAGATTTAGACTAATAAAAAAAATCAAGGGATTGATCTGGGTGCTTTCTTTATGAAATACCTGCAGGTAGCTCGTTTAACAATACTTGGACAACAACATGAAGTACAACTGCATGATCAGAGCTGTCACACTTACGAAAACAGTTTTCCCCATTGTTCACTCATTGGCATATGTGATTTTAGTGACCAGTCACTTTTTTCACACCACTGTCATGGAATAAAAAAAAACTGACTGCAGTTTTCAAGTTGTGAGGTGGATGAAAGTAGAAGGGAGATATTAGAAAAACTATTTAAGCAAAACCAGAATCGCTACCCAGTGTGAAGGGCGCTATCTAAATGCAATTTGGTGGTGGTGTAGGAAAGCACCACTTTGATGATGAACTGCTAACAATTTATATTGTTAAACACAGCAACAGTTTACTACTGAACTATTCAAACAGATTAGTTTAATAACAAAAATCATATGAACCAAGTTTCAAAAGCTTTAATGTATTACTTAATGTGCAAATAAAGCATACCTGAAAGGTAGCTGATCGAATTTGTAGTCCTTCTTGCATGTTCTGATGGAGCTGGTTTTGAATGCTGATCTTTTTCTCCTTTGTCATAGAGGCAATAGGAAAACTTCGAACCACCATCTGTTCACCCACTACGCAGAATTCATAAAGGAAAACATTAACCTTAAATGCTCAAACAAACACCTTGGGGCATAGGAACAGCAACAATCCATTCATCCCATCAAGCCTGTTCCACCAGTTTATTACCATTTGATACATCTTTTAAACCCAACACCTCACTCTTTCACATTATCCTTTAAAATATCTGCAATCCAAACATCTATTGTCTCTTAAACACTCCTATTAATTCTGTCTCTAATTTTCTGGGGCAGGACATTCCACATCTTAACCCCCATCACCCCCCCAGGAATTAATCTAGTGAAATGGCACTCGAGACCCTAAGACTAATAAGAAACTGGCTTGATGTTAAATTTTCCGTTTCAATATATGCATATTTTAATACTTCTTTAAAGCAGTGTAAAAAAAAACAATGTAGTAGTGTTTCTTAATCCTTTACATTGCTCTAAAATGAAATTATCCCTGGTGTTGTAAATATGCTGTATTTTGTTGCTACAATAATTGTGTTACATCTCAGGTATATATTTCTTTACCGTGTGGAAATGTAACTTGAGGCATCATAAGAACATATAGACTATGTTAACATATCCATAAGCATGGATCATGAAAAGGCCATTTGGCACATCAAGCTTACTTGCTCTCTTTAATACTAACCCAAGTAATAATTCCCTGAAGTACAAACTTAAACAAGCAAAAGCTTTAAAGTGGTCTTTCAATCCACCATTTGAATCTCCCAAGACCACTCTCCTTTTCCTGCCCCTTATTGACATAATTATGTACAGTGGCGCATTGATCAGTCTGAACCTATCCATATATTCTGAAAGTTTGAAAAATTGAGTAATTTTATAATTTTAGACTGCCACTGAAACTAATATTGTTAAAATGTTAATTGGAGGTTGGAGTACTATATTTTTATATTACAATCTGTATTTATAAATCTGGTTACAACTATGAAAATGTGGATGACTCAAGGTTCACAAAAGGCTAATGTAAGCAGCATTGCCAGCTCACTTGCTGTGAGATGACGAAACATAATTGAACGTGACATTAAAAATATATAACCATTAACCTCTAATAAATGGCTTGCGTTTTATCAATGTCACTTTAAATTATTTATTATATCCCAATTGTTCACCTATTCATACAGATTTTCAAAACAACTCTGTGACCAATTGGAGAGAATCCCTTATGAAGTATGGTGAAAGTTTCTCTGAAAAAGCAATTGTTTTTAAAAAAAACATAGTTGGATGGAAATGCAGTATTGTATAATAAATTCCTCACTGCTTAATTAATTACATATGTTGAATTCCTAAAGCTAGAACTGGAAAGAATTTCGAACAATTTTGTTCTTACCCAAGGGATCATGTGGTGTGCCCTTGAAAACAATTCTGTGTGTCGTGAGAAACAAGGCCCCCTCTGCAGGTAGGATGTGTGGTCCTCCTAACGTTCCTCCGGTGGCCTCCTCACGGCCATCTGGGTCCAGGACCACACGAAGTCCCTCACCAACAAACTCTTCACCCGGTAGTAAAGCTGGCCGTAGAATCTTGGGCTATAAAAGTATTTAAAACATTGCAATGACTGTGTAAATAGCATAACACAAGAGATCAGATCCTTCCTGTTGGTTGAAGCAATAAGAAAATATGTATTTTGTTGGGGGACATGGCGACAATTTAAAATTGTTTATTGAACCCCAAAGTACGAATCTAAATGTGAATTTTTTTTCACATGGAAGAATTAAAGCGTATTCAACCAACAAGAACAATTTCATACTCTTAATGAATGCAGGAAAGGTTCACCCTTTTAAACAGGAAGTTTGATGCAAATTGTAGTTACCTACTCAGCAGTCCTTGCCTGAAGGTCTTCGGCACCAGGTGGCCTCGCCAACTCTGCCACAGTGCACCACACACAGGAGGTGAGAACCCCACAGTCTTCCACACAACCTGGTTGGGTTATGCAGCTCTAGCTACTTTAAGGTCCAAGGAGCAGCTGGTTAGCAATTCCAGGTCCCTCCTGTTTGGGGCAATATTCAGCCCAGTCACAGAGTGGTGAACTGACCCTTCTAGACTTTATTTCAAAGTTTTTTTTCTTCTTCTGGATCAGACCATCAAGTCTGATTACCTAAGTCAACCATTTCGCCATTATTTGAACTGTTATTTCTGTTATTTTTTCAACCTTTAAATCTTTTAAAGTAAATTGAAAACCATTTTTTACCTTATATCATTTTCTACAATACTTTGTCAGAACTGTACTCTTTAGAGTTTGTTTCCATTTTAATCATTTTCGCACATCCCCACATTTTACCTTCTATTCAACATTTATTTCTCTCCCCAGCAGTTTCATGCTTATTAGGGACCATCTGTCTCTTAAATTCTGCATCACCTATTGTTTATTCTTTACTGACTGGCCACTGCTCATGACCAATTTCTGCTTTTATTCCTATTTTTCTGCAATATCAGCTCATTAGTTTGGTCTCCCAGCTTTTCCTAGGTGTACGCAGGCATGCTCTCTCAATGCTCTACTACAGTTTCAGCTGTGATCAGTATTACAGACAAGCATTAGAACTATTATATCACCAATTTTCCACTGTATAAAATCGATTTTGTTTCAAATTATCTTCCCCTTTGGCATATATCTCTCTGCTCCTGGTCCTCAGCCTCCTTTTGCTGGTATGTGGAACTACAGGTTAGAATGCCCCCCACCCCTCCTACCTCATCCAAGTAGCCAATGTTCATGTACGAGGCTTGTCATTGAATGTCAGCCGGCTACTTGACTACAGAGACCTTCACAGCCCAACTCTCCCTCCCTGCGCGTATACTGCCGGGAGAGAGTGCTGATTTTACCTTCCCTCACCTTGGGAAAACTGGGGCCAAATTACTCCCCCCTCCCATTCAGCCCAGCCCCAGTTAAGACCAGCAAACTCAGTGCAGATCAGGATTTGAACCAATCTGGTTCACAAGCTGTAGCTCTAACCCTTCAAAGTTACCCACAGCCTTTACAAAACCTTTTTAATTTTAAAATGCATGCCTAAAGTAGGGGTTTAGGAGAGATGGTAAGTTTGATTTTCCTAGAGAAGAAGAACATCTCATGATGTATTTTGCTAGTTATTGGCACAAATGGTTTAGAAGAAATTGGATTATTTTCAAGTAATTACCTACTTTTCTCCTGCTGAAACCGTGAAATCCAGCACAAAAACAGACCCAAATTCCTTTTCCCTTAATATCCTTCAAAAGTTGAATAATAAAGTTGAAGATTGGGTGCAATAACACAGATCTTCACATTGCACTGAGGTATGAACTCTGTCAAATTAAAATACGGTTTCTTATAAGCTGTTCACGAGTCTTGTGGTTTTATTGTGAAATCATTCACACTTCCTTGGTTTCTTCCGGTTAATTTAACCAATGAGTGATGGTCTCTGGTTTGTATCTGGTGAGGTTAGCTGCCAGGTCTTCAGAAGCAAGAGGAGTTTCACCACATACTGGAGACTTTCAGGGATTTCACATGTCCATTTATTTGTCATGACTTCATTTTTTCATTTTGTTGCATTAAAACCCAATAAGAACATCGGTTTGAAATTGTGAGCATGTTTTTCCAACAGATTTTCCAACAGAAGCCAATAAAGCATTTTGAGAATCTGTTTTCCACTGCAAGTGCCTATTAAGTCATTGTACTGAGCCTTTGAAATAAAGGCTTCATAAAGCTGTCGTTCTCTATATGTATATATATATATATACACACACAGTCAATTCACTTTACAGAATATTCTGTGACATCCTTTGAGACGTCTAGAAGACGTAAAAAGCGCTATATCAAATGCAAGGATTATTATTATATATATTTCACTGGGTTTGATGCATTTTCTTCATCAGTTGTCAGGGCTGCACCTATTTTCAGATATTTCCAGTTTGGCTTATCCATTGTTTTATCATTACACAAAAGATAATTAACAGCTGGAATTTGTTTCTAGGAAGGATGGCTAAAGCCGTGGGATTTCATCCTGAGAAAGGACAGTCCTACTATCATCAAAGTTAGTTCAGACGATAGCCACCAGGGTAACTTCCATTACCTGTTGGGTTACCTCGAGTCTTCCTGTGTCATACGATGAGCACAGTGTGCCTTTTGCCAATACCAAAATTAGGCGTTGAAACTTCTTAAAATTGAACTTGGTAAATCATTGCGTTCCGGGGCCAGCCGCATAGATCCTTTGGACTGAGTGTTTAATTGGTTTTAAATGAATGCAAAAGCAAAGTGATGTGTTTTCTTGGGATGAGAATAATATGCAATACCCATAAGGTAAAGGAAATACCAAATGGCTCAGCCAACATCTGGTCCAGCTGTTCCCTCATGTACTGTTGTTTCCGTTGAGGTGGTTAGTATGGCTGCAGCTTGATTGGAGTCACCATACTTTTATCTATCCTGTTGGATGACAGTGGTTTACTATGAACGGTCAGCACAAACTTGAGATCATCGAACTATTTGTTCATTCAACAGAATTATTTTTTGAACCTTCCTGCTTCAACTCATATAAGGTCTATATCCATTCATGTTCACAAATATCTGTGGCCGATTCCCTAGATAGAGGCTTTTAATCAGGCTTTTAATCATGCAGTTTGGGACATATTTTACGAATTCATGTACTCAAGGTCCTTTCTCAGGATGTTTGTTTCTTAAAAAATTCTCACATACACTAGAGCATACCCAGGATCCCATTTTTCATTTCAAATTTGTTTTGAGCGTTGATATGTACACCAATCACATTGAGAGAATTGAATCTCAGTAACACTTTCTGATTAAAATAGCATAATATCTGGATAATTTGTCCTCATGAATCTCAGATTTATGCAATTATCCCTTAGGGACAACTCACAATGGTGTAAACCAGATAATCTCGAGATAATTTCTGTAAACTTTCCTGCAAATTTGAGATTCCCTAAAAATACTGATGGATACAGGCATTATGCACTCCAATATTCATACTTATTTTACAGGGCATTTATTTTTTATGACTTAGATAACCCATTGATGTAAAGCTAGGCTTTCTGTGATGTGGCGAGTGCTTATTCAAAATGTTAATGAATTATTTTCAATAGGAGGCCATGTGGTCCAAAGCAACAGTCTGCACTTATCTAGTGCCTTCCACAGGGAGAATGTCTAAAAATGCATTACAAAATTTGAGTGGGTGCCTGATCAGTGAGGAACATAGGAGGGTCAAGGGGGAAGATGGCCAAAAAGACAATTAAAAATGGATTCTTAGTGGATTTTTAAAGCTGTGAGAAAGGAGGTAAGGCTTTGGAAAGAGAGTTCCAGAGAACAGTGGCAAAGTGGCTGAAAGCTTGCCTGCCAATGATTGGGCAGGGACATCAAGCATTCAGAGTTAGTGGAGTGAGCGGTTGGTGAATTAGTGTCACAGAAAATCGCTGAGATAGGGGTGGTGTAAGGTGACAAAGGTATCTGAAAGTAACTACATCATTCTTAAAGTTGATCTGCTGGGGAGCAGGAAGCCAGTGGAGCCTAGCGAGAATAGGAGTGATGCCTACAATATAGCAACACTCAAGGCATCCTCAAAATACACATACGTGTTCACAGTTTTCTTTCACCTGTTTCTATATTGCCTGCCACCACCTTTTTGTAAGCTTATGGTATTTCACTGGTTGCGTGCTGAATCATTCTGTGTAATTCTACGAATACCTCCTAGAATTCAACTCAAATTGAACTGGTTGCTGCTAATCTCTCACTAATCTTTTTGTAACCACAAAGCACGTATTGGACCGTGACAATTCACGTACTTTCCTTTTTACTGGAATTCGGATCCTTTTGAAAAACATTAACTAATTGCTTCTCTTTACTGAATTAAATTTACAAGGATAATGATGAATAATTTATTATTCTTAAGAGTGCCTGGAGGGCACTAATTCTGGCATCTGACTTTTGCACACAGTCTGGTAAATTCTTTGACACTACCTGCTTGAAGGGCGTCATAAATGCGAGCAGTTGTTGTAAATTCTATTTCACATATAGTTGCTTTCCCATTCTTGATCCAATCATTGAACAGACAAATATATACTGAAAAGCTCTGGTTTACTGATGCTCAGTTCATGAACTTAGTCTTCTCTTCATGTTCTTCAATTAATCATTTTTACTAATCGATTTACTTCTATTTGCCTCTAATAGTTTTTAGTATCAGGATTGGTCCCAAACATCCATTATATTCTTCATTTTCTCTCCCACCTGAGGTGAGAATTAATGGTCCTTATTTCTTCAGGAATATTCCGTTGAACATGTTGGCAGGTTTTTGAAATTAGTTACAATGGCTCCATGTATACTTGATAAAAACTTAATCAAGAAATATATTCATCACACACCGGGATCTAGCAAATTTTGGCTTAATTTTCAGCAATCTCAGCTCCAAGCTTTCTTTGGCTTTCTTTTGAGCTTTTGAAAGTTGACCTCACTTCCATCACGTTTTCTCACAATTTCCTGCTTCTGACTTCATTGGACTTGAGTTTACTCTGGCTTTGAAAACCACTCATGTTCCAGCTGAATTTTAAGTCCTCAGGTTTAAAAAAAACGGCGATTGGTATATAAGGTCCGCAGTAGCAGGTTTATGCAAAGTAAAATAATTCGGAAGGAAGAGAAACAAATGGTCTTCAAGAAATCTATTTGACTAGATCTTCTCCTCTGGAAATCATCTTCATTTTCAATTCTGGATCATCATCAACCATGCCTCGATTACAAAAGAACGTTCTGACCTTCCAGTAACAGAGAAATCCTTGGCTTCTTGAAATTCATGGACTTATTTTTAATGATTCAGCAATGGATAATTGTGCACTTGTTCACATCGATTTCCAGGTGACACTTTTTAACTCAAATGCTTTAAGGCACAAGGCTTCTTTGGCATCAAATATTCTATTGGTAGCCATACACTGATGATTGCTGTCATATGGTCTTCCAGGCAATCTGGTTGAATATTCAACCAGATTACTGATTATTTGGGAAACTAATGAACAGATTCTTGACATGCTTGGGTACCTCTTTTTCTGTTTTAATGCTACCTGGTACTTTTATAGTTCACCATTTTTCTTTACTCATTAAGCCCTTTCCTGCTCTGAATTTCTTCACAATGCTGATCAGTACCGAGAATGAGAAACCTTGACTATAGATTGACAGACTAACGAGCAGATATGGTTAGACTTTTTGAATAAAACCCACTGACCAGTTTCCCCCCTTCTTTCTCTTCCACAGATTAGTTAGCAATGTTTGGTCTGAAAAAGTCCATCTGATCCAACTAGAAAAGCCCAAGATTGTCATGTTAGATTGGGATTGAAATTCAATATAGTAGAGGACGATTTATCCACACCTGAATTATCTATGTGTCTGTTTGTCTGCATGGGCCTTTCCAGTGGTAGTTGTAACTGCAGTCATAAATGCTAGCAGAAAAAAAATGTTGAGTGCATACCTAAAGCTGTGCAAAGCTGCAAAGGACTCCCATCTCGAGAGTCTCTTGACCATGCACGTGCACACAACTTCAGCAACAGGATTTCCCCTGACTGCGTAAATATCAGTCACCCAAAAGTCTTATGTGAAAATTTAATAAGAGATAAAGGGAAAAAAATATGTGAATGAGGGAGAAACTCAGAGAAAGAGTGGCAGAGAGAGATGGGGGATGTGGGTGGGCAGAGAACAAGAGAGAGGCAGAGTAATAGATGCAGAGAGTGAAGAGTTGGAACTGTTGATGGAACAATTTATTAAGCATCACTGAGGCCAATTTGTATTTTGCATGATGGCCAATTACTTGCTTATTTGCAAAGGAGTCAGTCCCAGTTAGTGCAGATAATGGGTTCTCTTCTGTACTGCTAATTAGAGGATGAATACTCCAGGCCATCCTGTTGAAATTAGAATCATCCCTGATTAAATATATTTTATTAAAGAAAAATAAGGTAAATTTGAGACTCTATCCTGCATCGGTTGTAGTTATCTGTATCTTTTATTTTTATTTCTCACTTTTGCTTTCGCTTTTCTTTGCCTTATGCTTCTGTCATTCTGCCACCAATGTGTTTACCACCTTCTTTAGTTTATACGTTTCCACATACCAGATTACACAAATAAATTCTGCTGTTCTAGATGTAGCACAATGTTCCACAGCTGAGCAATTATATCTGTGCTCAGGAGTATCAATATTTTTCTAAAAACATCTTCAATTCTAAAAAAAGGTGGCTTTTTTTTAAAAAAAAGCTTTTCTTGAAAAACATAGCATATTTAGAAATGGATATTCTACTGAGCTGAATAAGGGGACAAACACCTATTGAAACATGTTTTCAATGTCAGGAAAATTGTTATCTTAAAGACAAACTATCTTCATGAAAAAGTGTTTGGTAATTATTTTGTTTGGAGAGGGAGAAGAGATAAGACCAGTTCATTCTTTTCAGCAAAAGATGGAATGATAAGTTTCAGTGTGAGCTATGTTATTGCATCAAATATAAAGGATTACTTTCCCATGAAAACAACATCCCCTTAACCAATGTTCCTTGGCTTTTTACCATTAGAAAATAATTATGCTGATAAGTAAATTGGAACAGAACTTGGATTCTCCTTATGCCATAAGACATTAACAACCAAACAATTTCTCTTGCTGGAAAGTGTAGTAACTTTGACAAAGTACATTTGTCTCTACAAAGTGAATATTTCCAAAGTTGCAACTGAGGGAGCAGGAGGAATTTCATCTCGACACTCATTGAGACAGAATTATGGAGTATTTTCAAAAAGGACTAAAGATATCTAGTTGCTATTGTGTTCACTATACTGGTTTCCTCTCTCTTCCCACCCCAAAATGAGAAGATACTATCTCGAACATGTTCACAAAACTAAAAACTTCAGTGGTCAATTTTTTTTTGTTAATGGATTAGCAGTTTTGAGCACATAAAGGAGGTCACACTCAATTAACAAGTCATTGTGGTAAATTTTATCCCAAGTTAGCATGAACCAAAATTAAACTTGAGAAATATAACATTTCGCAGGTTCCCACACTGATAGAATATAGGAAACCACAGTGAATTGGAAACATTCTGATGGCAAATGAGATTTGATTGTGAAATAGCCAATTCAAAATGGTCTACAACAAGAAATCAAAAATTCCATTGATCCAATTTCCAGGACCTAAAAAAAAAATCTGTGGCACAACTGGGAGAAAATATTCTTGACAGTCCAAAACCCAGTTGTTGGATTACCAAAAAGGTACCACTAGGTGGTGCTGCAGTGCTGCCTACTGGTAGAAATTGAACACTACAACTGTTGAATACCCTCTGGCCCTATTAACTTGCACCAATCTGAAAGGAAAGAAAAAAATTAGCAAGGAAGTTTAAGAAGCACAAAAATAAATAAAATGGCAGTATAAGGAAAATAAAAGACAAAGAGAAGGAAATTAAAATATAGAAGCAAGAGGAAGAGAAGACAAAGAAAAAGCATAAAGTCAGTGATCCAGATAACAGAAAAAGAAAAAAAAAACACTTTTCTAGCCATTATCTGGAGCAGAGATTTGCTTTTAGGATCAACAAACTGCAATACAGATCGTCCTGAACCAGTAAGACCAGTTTAAAAAAAAACTTCCCCTCCAACATCCTGTTTAATTTTTTGCTGGAAAAACCAAAAATTCTAAACTGAACTCCTTTCAGCTGAACAGTTGAACAGTTGAGTGAGCACTTGAACTTGCCTTCTGGATTGGTGGAAGTCTTCTGCTTTCCCGATGAACAGCTTCGAGTGTCTCAATATGCATAGCCACAATGCCTTAAAGAAATAACAAGTGATCAGTCAATGGGCGTCATCAAATTCTGAGCAGATTGCAAAGGTTTAAATATTGTCTGTATAATTAAAATCATTTACTATGCTTGTAACTTGTAATTACAATATCAGAAATTAAAATCCAAGAATCCCATTAATTAACAGTAATTTGTTTTCTAAAACAGAGAAAACGTGGATCCACTCTTAAGCTGACCCTTTTTGTTTTACAATGTGCCTGTTCCCCTTGCATAAAATGCTTATTTAAATTGTGGATGTCCACTGATGACACTTTTACTTTGAATTATATGCATCAAGGCCTCAAGTACAAATAGAACTAGGTACAGAAACCCGATGACTTCAAGGAAATTCAGCTCACCAATTTAGATTCTACTGGTGTGGTAATGTAAAATATAGCACTCCCTGTCTGCCCTCCTTTTGACCTTCTACTCAACCATTTCCCAAAGTGTATCAGCACTGGAGACGTGCAATAGTTCACACACCCACTCTTCTGGTCTGCATTGCCCTACAACAGCAAGCAGCCACTGTAGAACATTTTTTNCATTTGATTTCTCCCTCTCTGTACTTTATTGGTGCCTCCAGCTGCCATATTTGTTCTTTTGATATAATAATAATAATCCTTCCATTTGATATAGCGCTTTTCATGTCTTCTAGACGTCCCAAAGCGCTTCACAGAATATACTGTAAAGTAAATTGACTGTATATTTGTGGGCGAACGCGGCAGCCAATTGTGCACAGCAATGAACCACAAACAGTCGTGGATTGAAAATGACCAATTTATTATTGTTTTGTTTTTTTGGAGGGATTATTATTAGGCTCTGTGTGGAGTAAGGAAACTTGCCCAAGGTTTCGCCCTCTGCCTGGAATTGAACTCAGGTCTCTCACTTGCAAAGTGAGTGCTCTAACCCCTGAGCTACAGGACTCTACAAATATATAACCCAAGACATTTTCTACACAATGCCAGAGAAGACAATTCTAGTTTGGAGTGATTGTTGACAGGTTCTGTTCCCTTTCCCAGATTTACAGTGTTATATAGGATTTTATATTTAAAAAACAAGAGTAGAACAGAAGAGAGAAACACAGCAGCTCAAAGAAGCAACATATGATAAACTCTTAATGCAGTACTTATCTTACAGATCACTTCAGAACCAGTTAAAATAAACTATTCTCAGGCAACTGAGGTTATCTCAGTGCCTGCAATTCAGCTCATTTATTTTGAGGGTTGAATGAAGTTGTGTTCTATTCCAATCCCCTGTTTCCTGCAGTGTATCCAGAAAGATTCAATATTTTTACCTGGAATCATGCAGTGCAGATTCTTGATGTGGTCCTGTGTGACTCCACTTTCAGTGCAAACTTTATCAATAAACCTAGTAATAAAGCGAACTACCGAGTTGGCAACATCATTGTTCTCTGCCTCCTCAAACCCACTCTCAGTATCGTAGCTCTCGGCAACACTACCAGCAATGCTGTAAAAAAGACAATAGTCTAATCAGATACACAAAAACAAATAAGGCATCAATACTAATCATCAACTGCAACATATATGAGCAATCAAAGCTTTGCTTAGGAGGTTACAACATCCCCAGATTGATTTGGATGAAGAAGACCTTGGCCTATCTGATCTCATCCCTCCACTGTCCTCCCATTACAACATCAAGCTGCTTTTCCAATGAGTCCAGTGTCTTGGTAACTCGACCACACTTGTTCAGTTGTTAATTATCCTCTACATAAAGAAAAACCTCCTGCTATCTGTCCACTCTGCCCCCAACCTCTGGAATTCCATCCCCCGGTCACTCTGCCTCGCCCCCTCCTTAGTCTCCTTCAAGTCCCGCCTCAAGACTCTCCTCTTTGACCATGCCATCGGCCACCCCCCTTCCCCTCCCCTCCCCTACCCCCCCCAAACCCAGCTTGGGTCTGAAATGCTGTCCAGCCCCTTGGGACGTCCTCCCGACGTGAAAGATGCTATACAAATATAATTTTGTTGTTGTTGACATTTACCTTTGGAACTCTGAAGGCACATCCTCTTAATCCATCCTAAAATACTGTTCTGGGTTTATATTTCAATCCCATTTAAAATGTTACATACCCTTGTGAGGTCTCCTCGGAGTGATCTTCGTTCAAGACTAAAGAGCCCTCGCTTGTCTAATGTTGTGCAAGCTTATCGAATTGTTGCCCTTGTGACTTTGAAATGGAATGACTGCCTTTAGTGGCAATTCAGTTTGATCTATCACTGCCTAATCTGGTGTGCTCAGACATATTGTAATGCTCCACCTGAAACTGCCAAATTAACACAAACTGGGATATTATCTCCCTTTGCACCAAAACTACTCATTGAATAAGCTTGCAGAGACACTGGGGCAGCGAATCAATTTTTAAACTTCCTGGCTCTTTAAGAACATAAAACATATATTGCTGTCATTTGGATGCTGGTTACCGAAGTACGTGCTTAGCCATGGATATGCAATGCTCTCCTTAGCCTCCGGCTGCAGTAAGAGTGATTCAAAAGGACAAGCCACAACCAGCTCTCTATTACAGAACAGTTGGAAGAGTTGCTAAATCATCCATCAGTGTAAATAACCCATCACCGATGAGTCCAATCCTTTATTCGAAACAACATCCACACGTACAATTTCTAGCAGGAGCAATTTAATAGGAATCGGGAGTGGAAACTGGGGACTTGCTTTCTCCTGCCTAATTTAGGGGCACTAAAGCCAAACTTCTTCTAGCCAAAACCAGATTTAAACTGGGACCTTTCGACTCATATAGCCTATTAGAACACAATTGATTAAATACCTCTACCACTGCTGCACGGCCTAATGTGAAGAGCACGGAGTGCCTTTATTCATGAACCAATCATGAGAAGCTCATCTTACATTTTCAATGATTATCTTCTCTTAGACTGAGTACTTGGTCATCAGCAATGATGACGCAACAACGTGAACAATGTCCCAAAAACATCAATGTTGTGAAAATCAGATTTCAATTTTCTAAAAATGAATTAGCAGACCAGCGAATGGACAAACTCAAACATTTGCCACATGAAAGGCCATGCTTATCTGGATGAGTTTTTAATATGGAGACTTACTAATTATTGGCTTAAAAAATATTTTCTCAGAGGTTTGCAATGCTTGGCATTAAAAAGCAAAAAGTACAGCTGGTTTCAATCTTTTCAAAGTTGAGTTTGTAATTGTACAATTGTCGGGATAACAAATGTAACATCTTTTAAAAAGTACAAATCTACACAATTGACTTGCTTGTATAATTGTACAGGTTACATTCTTCTAATTTGGGAATAATACTCCTAACCCTAATTTACTTACTTAAAATACACCAGAGAAATTGTTAAACTTTTGTGAAAATATTGTCTTAGTGAATGTCCTGTGTTGAAAGTCCAAGCTAAAACATTTCACCAAACTAACCCACATCACTAATTCATTCAGTTACCATAATAAGTTAAGCAACGAGAAGTCTTTCATTTATTGGTTTCTATTGATTTGTTGAGGATCTTATTTTCAGCGACCTAGATTTTCATTATGCACATGTAAAACTGTACTTGAATCCTGCAATGTCAAATGGTAATGGAACAAATCACAATAACACTTAGGACATGTTGAATGCTATCTCCAGGAAATATTTCCAAAAGTAAACAATGTGGAATTCCCCAACCAAAATGATAACCAGATTGGGGGAACAAAAGATGTGACCAATCTTTAATCTTCACATGCTCATCAAGTTTAGACAGAATATGTATTACATTCCAGTTTAATCTTGGTCATGGTTTCCATGCCAACAAAAACAAAATGTACACAAGGAAGAATATTTCATAAACACCCACTCAGGAAGGTGAGACATAGGGGATTGGATGGCCCAATAAATTTCAACTTTCATTTTGGGAAACACAAGTTCAATCCAACTAAGACTCCAGAGAAATTGTTAAACTTTTGTTAAAATATTGTCTTAGTGAATGTCCTGTGTTGAAAGTCCAATCTAAAACATTTCAGCAAACTAATCCTTATAAGCAGAGTGCAAAGTGTGAAAGTATCAATAATTCATTCAGTTATCATAACAAATTAAGTTAAGCAACTGCTTCTCGAGGAGGCCTCAGTACTTTCTCCAGGCTCAAATTATGTCAAGTAGAATGCTTACTTTCCAGTAGGAAGAATCAGCAAATGAGGACTAAATAAGGTGCTGACAATTAATATAAATAAACCTTGCATTTCATATAGTTTTAACATCAAGACAACTCAAAGCCCTTCACAGGATATACTGTGGAGTGGCGTGACTGTATTTTGTGGGTGAATGTACAGCAACTTGCCACAAACAGCCTTGCAGTGAGTGAACAATTTTATCTGCAAATTGTTGGCCAAGACATTGGGAGAAAATTTCTTGTCTTGCTGAATAGTGTCGTGGAATGTTTAACATTCACCTGGGCAGGCAGACACAATCTTGGTTTAACATCTCATCCGAAGGACGGCACCTCCATCAATGCAGCACACACCAGTACTGCAGTAGTGTCAGCATAGATTACATGAGTTCTGAGTCCCAAATGGGGCTTAATGCGACAGCTTCTTGACTCGAAGGCGAGAGTGCTACCAACTGAGCCAGGCTGACAAGAGGTTTATGTTGAGAGATCCTTATTGAACTTAATGGTGTATAAAACTGAATTATTTTGAAATAAGCTAATAAAGGTGGGAGATTTGAAGATAATTACAAGTATATGAAAAGTGTGATTTTCAAATTATGCATTCTATTACAAATAAGATTTTAAAAAGCCTTTTGCATTGTATCATCTTGGGTTTAAAGGATCAAACTGAAAATTCATGCTTATTTTCATTCACTGGATTAGCCTGGGCAATTCCATTTGTTATTCATTTATTAGCTGTCTAGCAGCACACAATCAAACTAAGACTTTAGCACTTAAATATAACTTGCTTCAAGCAATCAAGGAAGAACATTTTCTCAGATTTGAAGTGAATGTAAGAAGTTTAAACTGATGTCATTTATGCATGTCAAAATACATGATGTCAAATTACAACATCGTCCGTTTATAAAAGTAAAAGATTAAATTGAATTAGCAAAATGTGCATAACCCTATGATATTGTTGTGTAATTGTTAAAAAGCTACATAAAAATTAAGTTTTTTTTCTAATACAGCTCTTTTAAGAAGCAAATTAGAAAAGCCATGAAATTAACATAGTTCCAAACAAACCTGTTCGTGACAATACTGTTGCTTCCACTTTCCCAATCCCCAGTTGTAGTATTCCGCAGAAGCTTGTTTTTGCTTGTATCTAATGGAACTAGCAGGTAGACCATGAGTTGGACGTAATGAATGGCTTGGCTGAACACAGTACTTTCCTCTCCCTTCTCTAGCTCCTGCTGTTTCTCTTTGTCGAGTGTTGGCCATAACCGCAGCTGCTCTGCTGCGATGTCCATGGCTGTTTTTTCATGCTCTGGTGGCGTTGGAGAGTTCTCCTAAAATAAAAAGAAGAGTTCAGCGAAATTGTTCTTCCAGTTTCTCTTCACGTACATCCTTTACGTAGGATTAGACCTAAGAGTTGCATTGCAGATAAGATTACCACATAGCTAGGAATGTGTTGTGCAGCAGCAACACATCTCATGGTTCATGTGGCAATAAAAACTACAAGGGATTTATCAACATTATGCAAACCACAAAAAGTTGTTTCTGTCTTGAAATAATGGCTAATATGTTTTCTTTATATATATGTATGTATATATACACACACACAAACATATATATAGATATATATGTAGAAGTAATTATGGTTTGGCAAGAAAAAATAGCAAGCTTCCAGGCAGAGAGCACTCACAAGTTACGAGACTCCTTCCGAGGAACCATGCAACTACTGCAATAGTTTTACTGCACTGAATGTTGAAGGTAAATAACATTCCTTAATGCTGCACTGAGTTCAGAAGACATTGTGAAACAGGTTTACAAACGTTTATGTATAAGTTCAAAATGTTTCACAACTTGAATCCCGTCAAAGTGCATTTATACACACTTTTACATATTGGTTATTCTTGAAGCATACAACACATTGAAAAGTTTATCAAATCATTTGTTTGAAGAAACAAAAACATTCCCGGTATCTAGGCAGAGTGGTTATTATATTAATGCTCAACATATTTATTTTCTGCAACTCAGCAGTTATGTTTAATTTTAGATTTACTTTGCATCCACAATACATGATTTCATTCCTGCAATATAAAATGTCAGACTAAAGTCTATGTACACTTTATCCTCTTAAAATAGGAAAACAAACATTTTTAACCAGAAGACGTAAATCAGAAGATATGATTAAACAATAGGCATAATGATAATTAAACTCATCATCTGTAAGAAAACAATCGCCTTGTTTTTATAACGGCTTTCTGATTGTTTCCTTTTTTAAAGCACAAATTGTTTTTCACAGACCCCATTCAATTTTCAGTGGATGTATGAAGGTAATGGCAATAAAATGCAACACTTTCTCCACACATTTTCCATCAAGTATAAACACCATTATTATGCTGTCACAAATGTTACAGGCAAGTGTTCACAGCTACTTGCAAATGGGCAATTAATCAAGATCTCCACCTAAGAATAGCACAAGTCATGGCAAAGCACAATCTGATTTATTCCATCGTGATCTCATTGCAAAATAGATCGGCTTTGAATGTTTCCTTAGAAGATGACAACTGAAGTGAATAGTGCTATTCATTTCACCAGAATATCTATGTACATACTACATTAAACAAGAAGGGAACTCTAGGTAAGTATTTACTTAAAGCACGGCTACCATTTTAGATTGAAAATGTTTTCAAAAAAATCTTTTCTTGAATGCAGCCAAAAATTAGGAGGGTCTAGATATTAGGAGTGCCATTTCTTGGGTTTAGTGCTGTGATCTTTACCTGGACACAGAATATGAAGACCAAGGGGTTTTTTAAGATGGTCTTCAAAATATTTGCATTTTCAAGTTCACAAATTGAAGTGAAAATAAAAACAAAAATGATTAGATTGGCTCCTACGAATCAAAGGGGATTTTCCAATTGGGTCTGATTATTAGCCAAATGATTTTTGGTACAGAAAACAGAGAAGCAAATCAAGTGAAGTCCAGAATTACCTTTTGATTAAAGTTAGAATCAAAATTGTCATTCCTGGAAGTGAGGTAGAGGGCTCGTATTTGATTCTGTACATCATTATAGAACGTAGCTTCCCAGTACTGTTGGTTAGTCCAGATGTGATGATCCTGTACACACGTGTAGGCAAACTGGTTGACCCCTGTAGCCAATTTCTGAAGTGAACAATAAAACAATTATTCAAACATCTGACATATTAGTTATCTTGTCATATCTGTTTTTCCAAGACAAACCCTATATAGGATGCATTTGAGTGAATGTTGTAGTTATACATGTACTGGGTTAAGAAATGTCGGTACTATACACTCAATTTCGATCTTACAACATGACATTTTAAATTAAAACAAATGCTGACCACGTGTCAGAATGTTATCTGCACTCTTGATGAAGTTAGCATGCCGCGTTTTGCCAATACATCACATATAGGTCATTCCAGGTTAGATGTAAACACGCTTCCTTATTATTTTAGGCTGCCATGCTCAAGCTTCAATTGTTGAAACAGAACTCTAATGACTTTCTGCCTTTCTCTGTTGGACTGTAGGTTGAGTTAATCTCCCATATGGCAGTTCTCATAATATTTTGTACCCGATTACTTCATAATGTTCAAAACAGATGATGCATTTATAGCTAATGTTCCATGATATGTGCCATGATATTAATGTTAAAACTAAATATTGTTGGAGAAATGTAGGCATAAGATAACCAAAACATGTTATTTTACCTTCAGAGGGCAGTAGATTTCCACACCAAGAAAGTAATATAAATACATAACTGTAAAACGCAAATATTATTGATGTGTGCAACTCCATCACAATTATTTTCAGCTGTTTCCATGACAAATCAACTATATTTTCTTTTCTCTGCAGGTAAACACATATCCATCAATGTCATATTCTACTCTGTTTAAACAGGGAATAAAATGTAGGTAGGACAAAACTTGCATGGACATGATTGCAAGGAAAGCAAGATTTTACAGACATTAGTAATAATTGAGGTCATCGATGGGACTGATTTTTTTCACTTAGCCATGAATTTTGTGCAAATTTTACTAGTTAACGTGAAATTGATTTTTTTTACTTAATTCCATAAATCAAAATCAATGTTAGTAAAACATTCTATTCAATAAATTATTAGACATGGGTAGTCTGTGTTGGTACATCCATACAGAGCATTGGGCTCAGTATCTTTAATTTCCTGATTTAACTGCTATTCTTAATCTTCTCGTATAGATAAGTTCAATAGTTTGGGCTAAAAAAATATTTCCACCCACACTGTGTGTATGTATGTTTCAGAAGGGGGTTGGGAGAATATTCAAGGACTGACATATCTATTCGGTCACCATCCTTCCCCCACTGCCCTTCACCCTCCCCGATCCTGACCCCCAGCTTGTGTCCGAAATATTGATTGTCCAGCGCCTTGGGACGTCCTCCTGATGTGAAAGGCACTATACAAATGTAATTTTGTTGTTGTTGGGTTGTCTGTCTGACTCCATTAACTGAGGAAAATTAACAAAACGGTACATAAAAATCTAAACTTTTTGAAATGCATTATTAATAAAGTAAACCATGAATCATTTAACAAATATACTCTAGCACTGTGAGTTAGCAGTTAAAGAGTTAAAATAAATGTAGACCAAGAAAACAAAGTATCCTCTGGGCTAAAATTCCAATGGACCCAAAATGTCTGCTTTTATAAGTAAAGCTGAAAATATTCGCATTCTCAAAAAGTGACCATAATATGTTCCAGACACATAGTGAAGATGCCAGAATGCGATGCCAGTCATGTTTGTATGGATGTCTGGACAACAAGCCAACCATTTGTATTAATTTAAATAGAACAAAGTGCAGCAATAATCAGACTCTGAATTTACTAGAAATCAGATTTCGTTGCTGACGTTAATCTAGCCAACTCTAGATATGGGTCCACAGCCTCAATGATTTAAAACAAAGTTATAGTTGCCATTTAAGAAAAATGCAATATGCCTTCCAATTATCCATTTACTGCAAGAATATTAAAGCTTTTGTCTGTCTGTATACTCCTTTCGCTGATCTTTGCCTCTGGGCAAGTTTGATATCGGAGCAACAATCAAATGATCCTGGCAGATAAACTAATGGCCACTTTTGTGTCAAGTACACGATCAAATGAAACACAGTAAATTTAAATCCCAAAAGAAACGTTAACAGTTTTATTTCTAAATGTAAGTAGATAACGTGATTGGTTCACAATCAGGCACTTTCTCCAGCAGAGTGCTACATTTTAAGAAGGTATAACATTTTCTTTCAAAATGAATATAGGTATCATTCAGTAAACAAATTATTGGCAAACCTCATTATCGCCAGTATCCGGTGTCTCACCACTCGATTACCAACAAGGCATGAAACAAATGGCTGACTTCCAGGTCTGCAAGTCATCGTTGACAACACGTCCTGTTAGGTGCATGCGCAGGAAGTACCAATTGTCATTTCGTGCGTGATGCTTATGTGCAGCAATCACCATTAATGTCACTTCCTTTGTTAAGTGACATCGGCAGCACTTCCTGCTCACAGCGAGCAACGTCGGCAGCGATCTGATGACCCAGATATTGGCCATCTCTCAATCACAGGAAGCCAGCTAGTGTCTGTCTACTGTAGACCTAAGTGAGGCAGTGTTGCACTGAAGGATGCTATAACAGGGTTCTTTGGTGTAGCAGAAGCAACGTTCAGATTCTATTCAAGGACCTGGAGCTAGTTAACTCATACTTTATTCCCTGCACCGGCAATTAGATTATCCATCAGATAGGTACAAATTTTTTTGTATACCATCGGAATGGTCATAGCTCAAAACTGTATAAGAATTTTTGAAACAACACTGTAGATTTGTATCAAGGGCTAGTTTACGAAAGCAAAATCAAAACTTCACCACCAGAAATAAGAGTACAGGAAAAATTAAAATCTGCAATTTTCATTTGAATTTCAGATATATGTAGCCGATTTTATCCAAACTGTGGCTGAAAACTTTGGAGTAAATTAAATACATTTCAGAAAACTACTTTTTTCTGCAAGAAAGTACAATTACAACAGCCGGGAAAAATTATGAGGGGGAGAAAAAAATATTGTACATCATAAATCCATGTCATGTGGGACTGGACTGAGCTCTAAATATACAATAATGCTTTACATAGTGAAATGAATTCTGGCAGCTTCAGTCCAATACCCAATAGAATCAACATACTGTACAACCTACCCCTAACTGAGAATTTTCAGCAATGGCAATCGGATTGAGAAGGTTAGGAATGAAAATGCTGCCAGGTGGAGTGCAGGGGGGCACCTCCGAGTTGAAGGTTTATTTTGCTCAAGATGCCCGATATTCTGCTGATTCACTGCACATATGAACCGAAAGGTACACACCATAAGCGTGCAAAACATTGAGAACGAAGTTTAACATGTTGCAAAAATTAACTTATACGAAGAAACAGAATGAAAGCACATTCATGTGCAGGCATGTTTTTCAAGTCAAGTATTTAAAATAGTATGACAATGAAGAGCATTCGGCTCCCAATGCTTGGCTAAAACAAACATGGAGAAACTTGTTACAACACAAATACAAACCAACTGCCACAAAACACAAAAGAATATTTTGTTCGACAGCAGGGTAGTTTCGTTGCTTCATTCTGGTCTCAGCCTGCATCATTTGAGCAATAAACAATCACTTACATTAGGGTTCCTTAATTACACTGAAAGTAACATTTTGAGACAAATATTTGTCTACACTTTACAAAAAGTCTGAATTTGGAACGATTAGAATTCATAAGAATGAAATTTCACTTGGTGTTAGGTTTATCAAAATGAATGATGTTGGATTGAAATGGGATTTTCCAACTGGAAGGACACACAGTCAAAATAGTTACACGTAGCAGCTGGAGGAATTTCTTCCAACATGTCTTTTTCCCCCATGATGACTCCGGCATCAGATGTGTTGAGGAGTCATTGTACAAAGAATGACCTTAAGCACCAGGATAAATTAAATCCAACAAAAATATGTGTATCCCAGACATTTGTTAAAACCTGATCCTCTCCTAGAGAGTGACAAACGAAGAGCACAAGACAAGCTTTTCTGTCTATATGAAGTTATGTCATCACCCCAGACAAAGAATGCAATGAACCTCAGGCTTGCATTGCCAAGCCACATTTTGTGGAAGCCAACCTTATCCTGCAGCTGTGACATCTTGGACTTAGTTCTATCATGGGAATCAACTGATGAGCCTGAGTACAGTTTGTATTTTGTAGGTATTGGATCAAGAAACAATGACAGAAAATACAAGTTCTTATATTATGATCCAAAGTATTTATTTCACCAGAAGCTTGAGTCGGTTTGATGCTTTGTAGACAAGCTTAGGTTCCTCCATAACAGATCTTTTTTGTTGCACTTTGGGCCTGCTGTTTTGATAGTTGTATATTTTGTTATTTATTAACATTCAGAATGAATGCGAACTTGGGCAGCAAGAATTCCTGCAGAGCCTCGCAAACCTGCGCAAAAGTTTCTTTGAAAACTGATGCATGGATTCTCCTCATAGAATTGGTTCCCTTCTATTTTCCTATCTCACAATCCGTTGAAGAAATGACCAGATCTCACAATCCGTTGAAGAAAGTAGATGCTTCTCTGGATAACCCCGTGCAAACTAGAGGTTATGTTCAGAAAATATTAATCGGTTTATCCACTCCAGCTAGATGGTGGGTGGTCACCTAGTCAGCAGCTAAAGTGTAGCCACTCTGAAGACCATATTTACAAAGAGCACAAAAGTAATCAACTTGCCAACAAAAATTATTTATCTGGCCCTGTACCGAATTTCGGAAAAACTGCAAGGCTAAACAAATCATTTCAATCACTAGGTTGTTTATCGGTCTTTGGCTTTGAAACAGTTAAACATTTCAGGGTGCATTCGGAAATGAGCCTATCACTCCGTAAAAGCATTCATCGCCAGGTGGAATGTGGCGGCCTCAATTATATGTGAGAAGTTTTGCTTTGTAGGTCACTAACTCAACACTCGAGAAAAGGTTCTGACTATTTCCACTATCGTGGCCATACAGAGTGCCTGAGAGAATATTCTACTGTGTAGTTTAGTTGCAGATGTTTTTAGGTCTGAAACCACGAAGATCATTGTTTCCATTTGATCCGT